TATTATACGCGCCATATGTATTGTGTCGCATCTTCAACCTATCAATTTTATCCGCGCACGAGGAATGTTTTATTTCTTTACAATTGCCGTTCCACTTTAAAAAAGCAGACTTTTACCGGTCTCGAGATATGGGAGGTCGCTTCGCTCGCATCGATGGAATTTAACCATATCGAGGTAGTAAACAGACAGAAGAAAGTGCTATATATAATAAAAATATACAGGGTGGCCCGTCGAAAACGTTCCACAAGGCATAACGGCCAGGGTAATTTTTTTCAGAAAATCCAAAAACACGTTAATTTTGTTTGTGAGGGGGACAACTTTTGCCCCAAAAATGATTGAAAAATCTTCAACCCTCTAAGCGGGGGTGTCATCCCCCAACTTTTTTTAAATGGGAAGGGGGTCAAGTGGCACCGCAATGAAAAGAGCTTTCTATTCTCTATATTTCCCCCTTCGTTTTTGAAAATCGGTCGAGTCATTGAGAAAATATGAAGGATTGAAATTTGAAAAGTTTATTTAAATATTTATCAGAGTAAATGATAAGGATAAATTCCTTCGACCAATTTGCTGTTTTTTCTTATTATTTCTAGATGTTTACGTATTTTTTCACTTGCCACAAAGTTGAACGATCAGGTGCGGTAGTTGCTAGATAGCTGTTCTATGACTTGTGCGTTGAAGTTCTCAATATCGTTAAACTTTTTAACAATTATGGTGTACTCACTCGCAGAAAAAGTGGAAATAATCGAACTTTATTTTAAAAATAATAAATGTGGCTATCGGTTTGCGCAGATATTCAATGAACGCCATCGTGACAAACACCTTTATGGCAAAATTGTTCGCGAGTTAGTAGCAAAATTTTGCGAAACTGGTTCCGTTATGAATAAAAAGAGGCAGAGGGAAAACCCTGTAGAAAATGAAGCTATGGAGGTATTTGTATCGGGCCAAGTTGCCATGGATAGTACGCTGAGTACAAGAAAATTAGCCAATGAGACCGGCCGGCGCCGGCGGCGTGAATCGTATAAGTATCCAAAGGATATTAAAAAAACACAAGTTCCATCCGGTCAAAATTCAGTTGGTACAAGAACTCAACGAAGATGATTTTGATCGTCGCTTGCAATTTTGTGAAACTGTGAGTGAACGAGTGACGTATGATAATAATTTCCTATTTATGTGTGTTTTTCGGATGAGTGTACTTTCTTTTTGAACGGTGTAGTTAATCGACACAACTGTCTATACTGGGCTGAGGTCAACCTCAGGGATTTTCACGAGGTGCACACACAAAACCCTCAGAAATTGAACGTGTGGGCTGGTATTTTTGGAATTTCTATTGTGGGTCAGTTTAACGATATTGAGAAGAACTTCATCGCACAAGTCACAGAACAGCTATCTAGCAGCTACCGCACCTGATCGTCCAACCTTGTGGCAAATGAAAAAATGCATAAACATCTAGAAATAATAAGAAAAAACAGCAAATTGGTCGAAGGAATTTATCCTTATCATTTACTCTGATAAATGTTTAAATAAACTTTTCAAATTTCAATCCTTCATATTTTCTCAATGACTCGACCGATTTTCAAAAACGAAGCGGGGAAATATAGAGAATAGAAAAATCTTTTCAATGCTGTGCCACTTGACCCCCCTTCTCATTTGAAAAAAGTTGGGGGGTGACACCCCCGCTTAGAGGGTTAAAGATCATCAGGGTTGAATCATTTTTGGGGCAAAAGTTGTCCCCCTCACAAACAAAATTGACGTGTTTTTGGATTTTCTGAAAAAAAATTATCCTGGCCGTTATGCCTTGCGGAACGTTTTCGATGGGCCACCCTGTACATATAATAAAAATATATGAAAGGTTTATAATCTTTAAAGAAATGGACACTGGATGTGAAATTTACCCTTTCAAGCTGTAGGATTCTCACAGTATACCCATATCTGTCGTCTAGACTAAGAATTCTTTCTTCCAAGTAATATCTAAATGGATAGTGCACAATAGGAAGACTTATAAAGTGCCTTGAGTTGTTTCTTTTTAGATTGAGAAGCTTATCTTTCATTCTTATCTTTGTCATTGGCATGCGAATCAAGCGGAAGTGGATCTCATTTTCCTTATTTTAAATAGAACACTGTAGCACCAGTGACGGTTCGTGGTTATTATTGCAGGGAGGTCATTATCTAAAAATATTATATAATTTATTTATATTAATTTGTATCTTTAATAATTAAGAAAACCCCTTTATAAAATTAGTCAATTTTAGAGAAAATATTGTCTTTGCCCTCTTAATTTAAGCTTCGCCTAAATAAATACATCGTCCTTTAAAATTTGAAAAAACAAATACATTCTATTTTGATTTTTAGTATATTTTTCTAACTATAGCTTTCCATTCATAACTTCTAAACCGATCTAAACAATTCGTGTATTTATAAATAAGTTTAACTCTGGCCGTCCCCTATATATACCAGAAAAATTAAAACCAACTGTAAACCGTATATTTTTTGATACAATCGAAAAATCAGCGAATATCTGGCACAAAATTTGCATAAAATTTGCATGGCGAGATATTAATTCAAACATGATGCATGTGTGCGCTTGGCGTTTAGACCAAAGAGATTAGTTAGCAATTAAAATCTTAGACAGATATACGATACCGTATCTCATACAGAAAAAAACAGTTGTATGTACAGTTATGAATGAAGATTTATTCAACCTATCTGTCTAATTTTTAACAAGTCTTCAAATGTGCAAGTTAAATAATTGAAAAATCTACTTGTTTGCATTTTGTCTGGTATATTTCTTTTAGTTTTGTCCACAAAACATCCCCCTTTAGAACTTCGTCTATCATGTTAAGAAATGAAAGTAAATAATAAAGCGCCTCTCGTGTTTGTTCGCACTCTAAAAATTTCAATTAATGCCTGTATATATTTTTAATATATTTTTAAAATTTACATGTTTTTAATTGTAAAGTAATATATTACATTTAAATGGAATATATTACATAACAATTATGTCAATTACAGGATTACAAGCTTGTTTTCTAACATTTTTTAAATAAAACGAATTATAAAATTTCAATATATGTATATTTGTCGTAGATAAGAAAAAAGTAAAATATAAAATGGACAAACGCTTACTTACATTCAAATAAACTTCCACTTTTAACTAGACTGTATATATTTTATTGGATTAGCCATTCAATTCTTATTTCAAAAAATATATCATATACTATACCGGGTGCGTCTCAAAAGTGGCCCACCCTATATTTCTATTTCACAAATAAAAATATCCGACAACACTAAAATCACTGAAACTTCCGCGGCTGACAACGAAAACTGAAAAATATAACGGCACTTTTTGTTTTGGACCTGCATATCAACATTACGCTGTACTATTATGTGTTTGTTGTTGAAATAATATAAAATATCTAATTATAACTTGTAAATTTTAATATTTTAACATGATTTTAACTACTTTTGACAATAACTAACTTTTTGTTATCAAGATGACATTTTAGACGGCAACTGACATATATGTCATAATATTTGAATCTTAATATGTATGTAATATAATTCTAAATTACTATAATGCAACTTTATACTAAGAAAACATTTATACATTCACAAAATACAACAAAGTCTAATAATATAATTTGAAAACAATGAATATTGAATTAAAATTGAAAAAGTTAAGCGCGACCCCTTGTGTCAAAATTAGATGATTAAATTTTCGCAATTTTTACACCATTTGATGACGGGTGGCGCCTCTAGTGTTTGTTCGGGCGGTTGGTCTTTTACTCCCGCTTATGGCCATTAAAGAAAAAGTTCTAAAGGGGGATGTTTTGTGGTTTTGTCATAGATTATTGACAAAATAAAATAAACGCCATAAATCTACTTTAGAGTGACAGGCATGTGACAGGCATAGGTGACAGGTAATGCAAGTACATTGACAGTTATAAATTTCATTTCAAAATTTCACAAGGCAGTTAAAAAATGTGAGTATAATACGTCTTTTGGGATCACTTTCACTATGGCAAAGGGAAGATAAACATAGAAATATACAGGATGGTTCATGCAGCGTTCCAAAAGAAACTCCGTATCGGGTTTTATATTTGAATTTTATATTTTTATTATCTTTCTTTGCAAGATATATTTGAAAAAATATTTTTTTAATAGATCATTAGCATTCAAAGTATTTTCAAAGTAATGTACTATTTTAACTAGACTGTATAAGTTTTTAAGTTAATGGATTAGCCATACAATTCTTATTTCAAAAAATATAACATATACTATACCGGGTGCGTCTCAAAAGTGGCTCACCCCTATAACTTTTTTATTTTTTCAGGTAAAACAACGATATTTGGTATGTTAGTATATGACATAAATTAGGATTGATTGACGTATTCAATTGTTTTTGGTCACTTCCTGTTTCACCGGAAATGAATACAACTTTTAATTTTTAAAAGGCACCCCGGTATTTTTTTACTTTATTCGATAGAAAATGACAGTCTGAATCGAATGACATATCATATGTCAACTTTTGACATATTCGCTCAAAAACAATTTGTAGTTTAAATTTCAATCTCGAGTGCTATGGTTGTGTTAAAAAAACACTACTTTTTAATCAAGTAGCCTTAAAAAAATAAATTGGATCGTCTAGTGTTTTTAGTGTCTTGTCCTGGCCGGTTAAAAGATGCCCAAATCGTATTTTTAATCAAATCTCAATTTTTTCAAATGGAACGAGGGTGGCTCATTAGCATATTTGAAAAAGCATTTTTTTACGAATAATTTGATACCACACACAATATTATTATATTTTATTACTTATTACACTTTATCTAAAGAATATACTAAGAAAACTTTATCTTATTACTGTCATTGTCATGGATCCTCTCGTTGATCAAATTTATATGATTCTTTGAGACCAAGACTATAGACCCTGCAAGACCAAGGCCAAGACAGTCTGTTCTTGCATTTGCACATCACTAAGTGTTATAACAATTAATCTCTTGTTACAGATCCATCAAAAACCATGGCAAACGTATACGTCGGCTTCCACGATCAGCGCAGCTGCAACCGCATCCTGAAACCCCCCGGCGGCGGTACTTCCAACATCTTCGGTACCGACTTGGTCGTACCCGACGTAATACCGAACCAAATCTCCCCGAAACGCGAATCCAAACAGTCCACCACCATCCAACACATAATCCAGACTGAATCATCCAGCACCAACACCACAAGTACCACCGAGGAAAACCTAAATTCCTCCGCCAACATCGAGGTTCCTCGCCAAAACGGTACCAACGAAGTTACAATTAAGGAAAACGGTACTTCTAACCCTCCCGACGTCACCGCGGTGGTAACGAGCAAAGTAGAAGAAATGAAAATAGAAGAAAGATCGACGAAGAGTCTAGTAACCGAAACTGACTCTTCAGGCAACACCAAAGTTATTAGTAACGACTCAAGTTCTGAAGGGTCGGTACAGCTGAATTCTAGCTTCAAGCAGGGTTCAAGTATCGGTGATATACTCAAGCAGGACGATGTGATAGAGGAGAAGAAGAAAGTGAAGTCTCCAACGCAGCGTGTACCTCCAGGAGGGTATTCTTCGGGATTATGGTAGAGTCAGTATAGTTTAAACAGTAATGGAGATTGCATCGGAGGAATTAGAGATTTGGTCACGTTAATCTTTGCTATAATGGTCATTTTAAAATTATAAAAAAATGTTGTTAAAACTCTCAATATAAAGACGATCAAGAAAAGAATAATTGTGTTAGTTATTTCTTTGCAAAAAAAATGATATAAATATTATTATCATATTATATCAACAGTATTCAATAGTTAATTATATCAACAGTTATCGTTCAAAATTGTGTCAAACCAAATTTTGTTTTTTGTCATAGTTTCAAAACATCCTGTGGGAAAAAAGGGTAAAAAAACTCTAAAAACTAATACAAAATGAATAAAAAAACAAAGTAATCACCTCAACCTAACATTGTCTAGAAAAGAAATTGTTCAACTCATTATTATTGGAAAAAAACTATCTAATTCTGATAATATACAGGATGAGTCTTAAATAAGTGTAAATATTTTTAGAGTGGTATATTTCGACCCCAGGAACACGTTTACGAGTTTTTTTTCCCAAAAAAGATGTTAAACATCGTGTATATTGTTTAAATTTTAAAATCGTGTTTTAAACAATAAAAACCGTTTTAAACCATAAAAATATGTATTTTTTAGAAGGAAAAGAAAAATATGTTTTTTTCAACCCTGGTATTTTCAAATTAATTTCTATATTTTATAAAATATGTCTCTTACAAAATCAAGCTATAATTTATTATTGTCTTCAATAAAAATGTAGGTAGCCTTTTATTAGATATATGATCTGTGGGTGAGATAGTTATAAGAACTCCATAAACGAAGGTAATAGAAAAAAAAATGTAGCTTGTCACCTTGGACTTATTTTTTATATTTTAAAAAAATTCGACAATATTAGAAATCTTTCACAAAATTAATTGTAGAACATATTGTGTACATTTATGAGCCTTTGCCTTATCTGACTCATATGATATCTTTATAATTAAAATATATTTTTGTCTTTTATTCTAATTATTTTTTTTTCTTTAAATATCGTGACCAGATCAAAATGAAACAGACTGAAGAAAAAAGCAAGCGCAGTCCTTTATGTTTTAATTTAGTTTTCCTTTATTTTTTTTCGTTATTATCATTTGCTTTATTTTCCCTATTTAGCCATATTATTATCCATTAATTCCTTTATTGTTTATGTATAATTATATTCATATTTTTAAATCTTTATTATAATCACGTACATTACCTTATGTGAAAATGTTACTAATTTTAATATATATTTATTTCAATTTGTGTATCTGTTTTAAGATATGTTTTATGATATTTATAAATCTTGTAACTTTATATCATCTTTTTATATGAATAAAATAAATATATCTATAAAATTAACTAGTTCGTTTTATTACTCATCATCAGTGATGAGCAAATGCCAGACCAAGACTCCTTTGGTCTTGATCTTACAGTTAATAAGTAGTCTTGGTTTTGGTTTTGCTACAAGATTTTTGCAAGTCTTGCATTATTTTTAATAGAGTTTTTCTAGAGGCACATCCTTAAGTGACTGACATACTGATTAATCACGATCCTGCTCAAACCACTCAACGTAAGAAGCTCAGTTTTGGCATACAGGTTGATTCTAGGGTGTAGAGGTTCGATAAGAAGGGATTTTTTGAAATTCCAGTTCCAAAGGGGTGAAACCACCCCTCAAATATTACAATATTTTTTATTTAAAAAACGGTCAAGTTTCCGAAAAAACGCTCAAACACGTATATTTTATTTTGTTTTTTTACATATCTTAAGATTTTTTAAAAATGTATACAGGGTGTTTCGAAAAATCCGGTCATTGATTAATCACGATCCTGCTTAAAGCGCTTGACGTAAACAGCTGATTTTTGGAAAACGGATTGACTTAGGGTGTAGAAGTTCGATAAAAAGGGATTTTTCGAAACTCGAATTCTAAGGGGGTGAAACCACCCCTCAAATATTAGAATATTTTTTATTTAGAAACCGGTAAGTTTTTCGGAAAAACTCTTAAACACGTATATTTTATTTTGTTGTTTTACATATTTTAGGATTTTTTTTCAAATTTATACAGGGTGTAATGACACCATTGAGTAATCACGATTCTTCTTAAACTGCTTGACGTTTAAAGCTGATTTTTGGTAAACGGATTAACTGTGGGGTGTAGAGGTTCGATAAGGAGGGGTTTCTCGAATCTCAAATTCCAAGAGGGTGAAAATGACCCTCAAATATTACAATATTTGTTATTTAAAAAACGGTTAGTCTTTCGGAAAAACACTTGGACACGCATAATTTATCTTATTTTTTTTACATATTTTGAAATTTTTTAAAAAATCATACAGGGTGTTCCAAAAAGTTGGGTAATTGATTAACCACGATTCTGCTTAAACTGCTTGACGTTAAAAGCTTATTTTTGGCAAACAGATTTTTCGAAAGTCAAATTCCAAGGAGATGAAACTACCCCTCAAATATTACCAAGTTATATAATAATATCGCCATATTGTTTTTTCTCATGCTGACATAAATGTGAGAAAATTTTATCTAGTTTGTATGTTAATGGAAATTCTTGCTTTGCTTTATCATCACCATTAAAAATGATTAATTTGACGCGATTCGACAAATAATTAATTCGCAGGTACACACTAGTTTTACTTATAAAATGGTAGCGATCTTCATTTCATAGCCGTCGCTGGCGCCGTTTTTTTTCGATCGTATTGTTTATATGGCTTGCAGAAGCGTGCAAATTAACTGAGAGTCATATAACATCCCGTTAGGACTAAAATTCCTACTCCTCGGTTTCTTCACCCTGTATATCAAATAGAACTCTTTTAAAAATGCTGTTGTCAACATAGACTTAGAATAAAATATAGACTACACTATTTACATTTAAGCGCGGTCCAATATTAATTTTTGTAAACATGTTTACTCCTGGGTGCAGCTGACCTCGGCCGTCTGAGTCTTTCGCCTCCAGCCTATGTTGTCACGTCTAAAATATTATTAATATTTTTTTTGTTGTTATACACATATATTGAGATATTAAAACTGTATTTTAATAAAGTAGTGTTTAATAGTAGAAAGATGTATTAAATAGTCCCTATACTACTAAATTATAAGTCGGAGACTATTTAAAAATGACAAATTCTTTACAATTTGGCAACACCCATCAATCGCCGGGTCGCCTGTTCATTCTTTATTCTCTCGTAGTAGAGCCATAGTAGAGTAAAGCACGTGTCGTAAAACCTTGTTGTCACAGTTTCTCCATGGCTATTTTATTGTTTTTATTGGATGTTTTGATTTTGTATTTTTTGGATTCGATTTTCTTAGTGTGTAGTGTCGGTTTAGTGTTTATTTTGATTACTTTTTATTTAAAAACTATAAAACATGGTTCGTCAGTGCCAAATTTGTAAGAAATTGGACTATTTAAGTCCTGGAACAACATTCCACAGGTAAGTCAAATTTACTATTTTGGCGTCAGTGGCGTTGTAGAAAGGCGCTTATTTAGATAATAATTTAGTAAATTATAAACCCTGGAAAATCTGTATTTTTTATATTTATCATTTACGTAAAGGTTCTTACTAACCTCGTTATTAATATAACGAGTAGATACATTATTAAGTACATAAGAAGTAGACACATTATTTTCTTGGGCATTGGTTAATTTAATGCTTTTTTTTATGAAAAATGTGTTTCTTTTTATTCTAAAACCATCCTTAGAATCTAAAATAACATACAGGAATTCCAGAATGATATTCCATTATGAAACAACAATTTTTAAGGCTTATTATAAACTATAAACAATCGAGAAAGTCGAAAAAATTACAAGCTACCAAACATTTTAAAATACCAAACATTCCTTATTTTTTTTCAAGACTAAAATATTTTACAAACATTACTTTTTCCCTATAGTTTCACATCAGGTATAGAAATAACTACGTTTTTATGATAGGGTCACCATTATGATAACAAAAATGACGAACAATGGTCCAGAAATGTAAACAAGTACATATTTTTTGTAAATATTTTTCTTACCGCTTGCATTTTTGTCCATTATTATTTCACAAATTATACAGGGTTATGTAAACCAGGTAGATATTTCGTTTTTTTTATATTAAACAAAGATAAAATAAATATGCCATTTTAAAATTTATCCAGTACTTACCTAGAGTTTTTTCTTTTTTTTTCTCGACTGTTAATCTATTATTAATTTGTAATACCGTATGATCGAAAAAAACGGCGTCCAGTTGGCTTGGAAAAAACCATCGATACATACTCCATATAATTTTACATATAAAATGACAGCGATCTTCATTTCATAGCCATCGCTGACGCCGTTTTTTTTCGATTATAAGGTATAATTTTCATTTTTTCTTTTATAATGTAATATCACTTAAGTAATATCACATATAATCTGAAGATAGTTTTAGAATTAACCAAAACGTAAATCTTTAATAAAACAATCTGTTATTATTTGCCATATATGTATGTATCCAAGAAAATAATTTACATATTATTATTATATGTTTTACTGTTTTTTATCTTTATTTGAAACTCAGAAATGTTGCATTGGCTTTCTAAAAAAATGAACTTGTAAGTTTTTAAAATGCTTCGTTTCGGAGATACAGGGTGTAGAAGTTTCATTTTTATTTCGATTTTTTTCCAAATAATTTCTGAAGTGACGTCAATATTTGGACGAAAATTGGCGTTTGGGAGTTTTTTGACATGAAAAATTAGATTTAGATGTCAATTTGACTTTTACTAATAGGGGGCGCCACCTACATATTTTTTAAGTTATTTGAAGAGTAATACTTTTTGTCTGTATCTATATAAAACTACTGAGAAAAATTTACATTTCCAACGTTTTTTACTTAATAAGGTCTCTTGTTGACACTCGCCACAAGTATAGTTCTCAAGATATTTGGAAACGAATTAATCAATACATTCTTCATAAATTATTTGGAAAAAAGCGAAATAAAAATGAAATTTCTACACTCTGTATCTCTGAAACGAAGCATTTTAGGACATAAATTTATACTATTTTTTTTACTGATTTTATTTGCAGATTATGCTGCCAAAGTTTCCTGAATACAATTCCGACCACTCTGTATATCAAGATATCCCCCATTACGTACTAGTTTTTCTTAATAATTTTCTATACATTTTCCAACGCCAAGATGTACCAAGCGCATACAAATACATCAAGCTTCAAACAAGCTTGCACGTTGACAGTAATACCTACAGTAATATTGTATTATATTAATGTAATATTTTTGAACCAATGTTCAATATTACTGTAGTAATACTGTTTATACTCATGCCTTTTATATTTGTTTGAATTTGGTGCATATTTCCATTGAATAAAGTATAGTCACCATTACCATTATTATACTTACTCTATAATAAAGACAGTAACGAGTTAAATAAATGTAGTTTTCATTTTATTCACTTCCTAAAAGCTTGCTTTAATGGAACAGATTCCTGTTTTTTCTAATTTACATAATAAGACATCACTTTTACCGGAAAAAAAAATTAAACAATTATAAAGTTTTTTCTCTTTCTGTTCTATTATATCTATAGAATAGATCCTGTTTTGATTAATATTAGAGTTGTAAATGTTTGACTAAAATTAATATTTTATTAAATTAATAATTTATCATCAATTTCAAAAATTAAATAATTTCGATTATTAAAATTTCTTCTATAACACGTACTTTATTATTTTTATCGTTTTTAGACTCTAAGACGTATTTTTTTTCTAAGTCCTAAACTTTGCTTTATATTAAACTATTTTCTTTATCCTAAATCTTAATAATATAAAAAAGTTTAAATACGATATATTTTTAATTGAATTATAGCTTCATTAAAATAAAAAAATACCCGCCTATGATAGGGAGAGTGCAGGTGCACTGAAGAAACAAATGACAGTGTTGCGTTGGGCGGCAGAGCCGTCAGGAAACGACCGTTACGACGGAGACAGCCTATCTATCGCTCGTGTCGCACTCGTTAGAGCCAAAAACAATAACACAACAATAACAAGACGTTGTCTGTCCGCATCTTCCAGCTATTTATGAATGAGATGCTCAGTCTATATTTTATTCTAAGTCTATGGTTGTCAATGAGCATGAGTCACTTGTTTCATATTCTCTGCACCGCCTTCTATAGTCGCTTGGAAATGCATTCTTTCATTTTTCATTGTACGTACGATTTTAAATACACACGTAATGTATACGTACACCACCCAATCTCTATTTGGAATAACAATGTCTTTGTCCTTAAGCCTACGCGGGTCTGCTTCGTTTCATCGCCGTATGAATTTTACGAAGCTTAATTTATTAGCTTTCATCTTACGTAATTATATACAGGGTGGACGAGTTTTAACGATTATTTCAGTTTCAAGCACGGTCCGGACGAAAAACTCTCGCCAATATACCTACAGGGTGGTCCGAACTGTATTCCGGAAGCTTGTTTTGCAGATCTATCTCTTTTTAGTCCTGACCCCCATTAGGGAGTGTAGTGGTCAGCGTAACATCATGGATGATTTTTCTCCATGCGCCTCTGTCTTTTGTCATCTCGATGACATCGTGCATTGGCTTGCTACAGCTAGTCGTGATCTGGTCTATCCATCGCGTTGGAGAGCGGCCACGTGGTCTACGTCACTCCACCTTGCCTTGAATTATGAGTCTTTCCATATTGTCCGGACTTTTCCTCATTATATGTCCAAAATATTTTAGTTGTTTTAGTCGGATTTTACAGGAAAGCCTGTGTGTTAGTAATATTAAGTTCATTTATAATGGAAACGTTTGTACAGCGTTCAGTCCATGGGATACGGAGCATACGTCTATAACAATATAACTCGGTAGCATCGATCTTCTTACGTTCCGTCTGCCTGAGAGTCCACGATTCGCAGCCATACGTCAATATTGGGAGTACCAAACAGTTGACTAGCCGGTTTTTGGTGGCTCTTGAAATCTGGCGGTCTTTCCAGATCTTGGTCAGTCTCCCAGCAGCTACCTTTGCCATGTTGCACCTACGCTTCACCTCTTCTTCCGATGTGCCTGTATTTGTCAATAGTGATCCCAGGTATACGTATGACTTAACGACTTCAAAGCGGTCGATATGACTTATATTTGGATGGTTGTTATGTTGCCTATCAACTATCATGATTTTGGTTTTTTGCGTATTTAGTTCCAGACCGAGCCGATTGCTTTCGTTCTCTATCCTATTTACTAAATTGATTAACTCTTCTTGACTGCTAGCGAGTAGTGCTGTATCATCTGCAAAGCGTAGATTATTTATTTTTTGGCCATTTATTGAAATGCCTCCTTCCCATGTTTCTAGCGACCTTCTCATTATGTATTCTCCGTATATGTTAAATAGTTGAGGAGACAATATACACCCCTGTCTGACTCCTTGTTCGAGGGAAAATTCCTTTGAAGCTGAATCCAGTATTCTAACTGATCCTGTAGTGTGCTGATACAACTGGATGATAAGTGAAATAAGGTGTTGCGGTACACCCATTTCCTTTAAGATTTTCCACAGGTGATGCCATCTGACTTTATCGAAAGCTTTTTTATAGTCTACGAAACAAATATAAAGAGGGATGTTGAATTCCCTTGCTTTCTCTATGATTTGACGCATATCCAGAAGATGTTCCCGAGTGCCTCTGCCCTTGGTGAAACCTGCTTATTCTGCTGGAATTTCTCTTTCTAGAAAAGCTTTCAGTCTTTCATTTATGATTTGCAACATTACTTTACTGGCATGTGAGATTAGGGAAATTGTACGATACTGCACTTATGTATGCTCCCTTTCTTGTGGAGAGTGACAATGGTGGAGTGTGTCCAGTCGTCGGGCCATTCTCCTGTGTGCCATATTTTATTACAGATCAGATGAAGCATTTCTAATCCAGGTTCTTTAACGGCTTTTATTATTTCTGCTGTCATTAGGTCTGAATCTGGTGCTTTATGGTATTTTAATTTGTTTATGGCCAATTCAACTTCACTTTTAAGGATGTCCGGTTCTTTCTCTAAATTTTCGTGGTGGTCGACATAGTTATATTCTTCACTGTCTTTGTATAAATCTTCGCAATATGATCTCCACACCTCAATAATGTCTTCTTTTTTGGTTCTTAAAGTTCCATTTTGATCTTCGATTGCCCAATTTCTGGCTTTAAAGTCCCTGGTAATATATTTTATTTTTTTGAAGAGGTCTCTTGGTTGGTTATTTAGACTGTGTCCCTCGATCTCTTTGCATATATCAGAGTAAAATTGTTGTTTGTCTCTTCTTGCTCCTTGCTTTATTGCCTTATTCAGGTATTTTAGTTCTTCTTTCTCTTCTTCTGTGTGTATGCCTTTCCGGTGGAGAAGTCTTCTGTCTTCGATGATCTGGAATGTCTCGTTCGATAACCAGTGTTTTCGTTTTATCGGTTGATCTTCTTTTTCTGACCCTGTTGCAGTTGTTGTGCATTTTTTGAAAGCTTCCCATATATCTTGGGCTGTTGTATTTTCTGTTGAGGTAGTCAGGAAAGCCTGGGTTCTGTGGAGAATTTCTTCGCTGTTTCTTTTTATTAATCTTGTTGGTGTTATGTGGTTGAAGGGTGTTTTGAGTTTGAGTTTTATTTTGGCAAATAGGAGCTGATGGTCTGATCCACATATTGCCCCTGGTAGTGTACGTGCTGTTTGAATGGAGGATTTCCAGCGGGTTGGTCAATATGTAGTCTATTTGATTCCGTGTTCTGTCTCCAGGGCTTCTCCAAGTATAGACTCTGCGAATGTGGTGTTTAAATTTAGTGTTCATTATAGAATAGCTGTTATTGATGGCAAATTCGATTAAACCGTCTCCTCTTTCATTCCTCTCTCCCAAGCTGTATTTTCCAAGGATATTTTTTAGATCATCATTCATTTTGTTGTTCCCAACTTTTGCGTTGAAGTCGCCGCAAATTAATGTCAATTCTTTGTTTGGTATATTCCTGATGGTAAGTTCTAATTTATTGTAGAATTCTTCTATTTCATTGTCCTCTGCCGTTGCTGTCGGTGCATATATTTGAATGATGTTGAATTTATGAGGTTTGCCGTCTAGTCTAAGGAGAACTATTCTGTCGTTTACAGCTCTAAATTCTATGACGGATTTATGGATTCTGGCTGATATCAAAATGGCTACGCCTGTGAATGTTTGTTTGCTATTGCCAGAGAAATCAGTTTATAATCATCTGCTGATGATGCTAACATGGTTAGCGAAACGCGCGTCCAGTGTAAAAGTAAAAGTGTTTTGGTGTATTGTGGTGATTTAGTGTTTTTATTTTGCTGTGTAACACCAAAGGTTCCAACCCTCAACTGTAATCAGAGAAATAGACATAATTTCCATTAGAGGTTTTGAAGTAGCCCTCCCCTAGCCAGTGTGTTTCCGCCAGTCCCGCAATTTCGATTCTGCACCTTGACAACTCGCTTTCGATGATTGCTAGTTTGACCGTTATTGTCTTCAAGCCCCGCACATTCCACGTACCAATGTTTACGGTGTTTCTCATCTGGAGTTTCTGATGACCAGTAGCTAATTTTCCACACCATGCCTGATCATTCACAATCGTGTGGCCGGTAGCTGACTTTTCACTTTGCGACCCGGAATCGCAGAAGCGCCGGTCGTCACCCGGACTGCGTGACAGCATCCGGCTCTATGTTAAATGACATCACGCATAACTTTCTTGGGAGATTAATGCAGTGGATTCCCCTGCCCTCCTGCATCGCAGTGTCGTAACCATTCTGCTGCTACAGCTCCGCTTACGATTTTCTGGCATCGAACCTTGATTGAAGTTTCTTCGATAGCTTCGACCCAGTAATGACACAGCTGCTTCTCTATGGCATGCTAGTTTTGGTCCGCCCCGGATATTTCATTTCTCCGGTACCACCCATATCTGGGAGGCGTTCCCCTATCCGCCACCTGGGGAGGCGCTCGATGGAGGACTAGCAACCTCACACGAGCAGATAAAAATAAGTAAAAAAAATCGTATAAAAATGGAAGTTTTTTGACACGAGAAATTTGTTTTTGATGTCAATATGACTTATATTTGTAGAGGGCGCCACCTACACTATAGGGCAAAAGTAAAGCAACAAAGTTCATTTTTATTCATGTTTGAATAAAAAAAATATTAGGTTGTGATTTTCGGCTACGTTTACTAACACACTATCCTTACATTAAAAGTAATATTTTACAAAATTTTGGTGTACTTTTAATCAGTTTAAAAATGATAAATAATAATGATTATAAAAATTGATTAGAATGGGGCGACAAAAGTAGAGCAACAAATTGTATTCAACATATTTTATTGGGTCTTATTTCAACAAAAAATATTTAACACATTTAAGAACAATAATAAATGAAAGTAATACATTAGTAATTGATAGAATATCCATTATTATTTACAACTTGCTGACAACGGCGCGGCATTGCAGCATATCAACTTCTGGATGACATTTTCGGGAAGATTTGTCCAAACTTCATTAATTTTATCTACCAAAGAATTGTTTATTTGGAAACATTTGGGTACGAATACGACGTTCTACTATTTCCCAGAGATTTTCAATGGGGTTAAGGTCTGGGGATTGTGCTGGCCATTGCAAAACTCGAACGTCATTTTCCCTAAACCACTGTTGAACAACGTGTGAAGAGTGTTTTGGATCGTTCTCCTGTTGGAAAATAAAACGCAGTGGCATTTCCCATTCTGCATAAGAAAGCATAACATTCTGCCTGATAACCCTATAAACAAATCGGTCCATCATCGTGTCATTAATAAAGTGTATAGGGCCTATCCCATTCCATGAGAAACAACCCCATAAAAATACACTGTCTTTACCGTGTTTAATTGTAGGTGTTACGTATTTAGGATTAAACCTTGTATTGATTGGTCGCCTGACACGTCTCATTCCATCAGAATTGAATATTTTGTAGCGCGTTTCATCACTGAACAGAACTTTTTTCCAGTCATTGACGGTCTAGTTTAAATGCCGACGTGCGAATGCCAACCTTGCTGCTCTATTTCTTTCCAAAACTAACGGCTTTTTAGCTAGACGTCTACTAAATAGCTTTGCATCTACTAATCGTCTTTGTACTGTTCGTATAGCAACCGTAATTTCTGGAATTTCGGCAATAATTCTAGGTGCCGACTTCCAAGGATCATTTTGAGCAATTCTTTTGATGCGTCTGTCGCATGATACAAAGAATACAAGGTATGATATTGCGCAGGTTGGTCACTACGTCACAGGTGATAAACGGCACCATTGGTCGGCAAGCTCTGCGCGCCAATTTCAAATTGGCAAACAGATTGTGTCATCTGTGAAATTTGATTGTGTCAAAATGTGAAAATAACAATGACTAAAGAATATAAGGACATGTAACGCCCCTGTACGGGCTGTAGTAGAATTTGTGACGTTAGACGCCATTCGTTTGATGCCAAACAGTGAGTCATCATCCAGTCACCAGCGACAATTTTAGCGATTTTTAATAGTTTGTTGTGTGTAGTGAACTTTGTATAAACTTTGTTACAATGGTGAATTGTGTAGCTTTCAAGTGTAAAAGCCACAGCGACAAGAAAGAGCCAGGAGTTACGTTTCACAGGTAAATAACAGTACACTCCAACCTTTTAGCGTTTTCTTATTGAATTCGATAATTATTCTTCAACTTCAATTAACATCTATATGTACTTGATATGTGCTATACGTCGATACTAGTTTTGTACCTTTTGTTAACATTTTAATACGTTTTTTTCGTAATTAATTAGGATGATACACCATAGGCGTAGTCAAAACAATTATCAAAAAATATAAATATTGCTTCAAACAGCTAGGTTAAGAAAAATATGTACCACGGCACTGTTTGATGCCAGCGTCACAATTTGCTGTCGGGTGTTATTTGTCCTTGGATTCTTTAGTCATTGGAAAATAATTTTTCAAATGTCAAGATCGATGTCAAAACATAACTTTTGGGGTTATGTCCTAATTCTTCCCTATTTTAGGTCTTTTTTTATTAGTGGCAATTGAACAATATGGATATTTTTTGTATGGCGTATGACGTCACAGGTGGTATGCGCAAACTTAACGAAATTGGAGCCGCTATCGATCATACCTTGTTTTCTTTGTACCATGCGTCTGTCGGTCATTACTGTTGTTTTCTTTGGCCTTCCCGATTTTGGCAACTTTTCTAAGCGGCCCCTGTCATTATACGATGAAATTATTTTAGATACACTGTACCGGGGTAACACAAACTGTCTTGAAATATCGGCTTGTTTGTTACCTTCCATGAATGCATTCACAACTCTTTGCTTCAAGTCTTTTGAAATTGGATTCCTCTTGGCATGACTAATCCAGCATAGAAATTTCTTAAAAAAACATAAAATAAACCTCGCTCAAGTATTTTGGCCTTTACTTTTGCTAAAACCCTTCTTTGGAATGAATTGTTGCTCTACTTTTGACGCGTTACTATTAATTAAGCATTTAAAACTAAATGTCAAAATAAATTCATTTGTTTTGTTAGTAAAAATTATTGCTGTCATGGATACTCATAGCCTACTTCGTAGTTTTTAAATCTATTGTATTTGTATACATTATCATGCATGTATAATTAAAAAATCGCGATTTGCAAATATTTCTCGAAGTGTTGCTCTACTTTTGTCCGATAGTGTATATGTGTTTTAACTATTTTGAAGAGTAATAACTTTTTGTCCGTACCTGTATAGAACTACTGAGTAAAAAAATATACATTTCCGTGACTTTTTACGTAAAAAATGTCAAGAGGTAAAATTCGCTACAAGCAACCGTTCTCAAAATAGCATGGAAATAGTCAATAAATATCATTATTGACAAAAAATAAATACTTTGAGTGAATAATTATTTGGCTGAAATAATTATTTTTTATTTTTTTTTTAAATAAATCATAAAACAACAAACCATACGCAACAACTGAACAATAATCCTTGCGATATAAATTAAACTTGTGTCCCACATCCCACTTGCAAAAATCTCCTTACATGGATGGCGACCTTGCAGTGGAGCACATCAATACATTTCCTTTTTTTAAACCAGCAAATAATCGGTAGTAGTTCGCCATTCTGACCTTATAAAGGGGTATTAGTCACACTGTGTCTAGCACAAAATTCAATTTGTTTCTTTTTAAATACGTTAAACACTGTTACAGATTTATAAATTAGGCAATCAAAGGAATTTCTTATTTCTTTTATAAATTTAAAATTTCAAAATAATATATGTTTGTTTGTAGAATACGTATTTATTATAACGTTGAATCTTTTACTCTGCGTCCTTTGTTTTTTGTTAAATTAGCGTTAAACATATCACAGAGCCACCTAGATTTTACCAAATACATAATAAAAAGATCTATACTGACACTAAATCATAAAATTGAAAATATTTAGGAAAATCTTGGTCTGAGTTTGGTTACGAATTCTCCATTAAATATCGGAATAATATACTGGGTGTTCATTTGAAAAATAAGAGTAACTTTTGCCTTTAAAAGTGACTAATGTTCAATATTAATTTTGTGTCACCCTGTATAACTTTTTAGGTCAATACAATGGTTATTTTACTAAATATTAGACTATACTGGGTAAATTCTAAGTTAGATAGATTTTATTTAAATTTAAAATGTTTTTCTTCATTTTTAGAAAACGTTTTAATATGTCAAAAATCTTACATTTTAGTCATAATATGCTTTTCTAATAATTCTAATGATACTCACCTATATTTTCTTCCTGGAATCCAAAAATCCATTAATATATAATAAATGTTCCATTATAAAAAACACAACTTTGATGTGTAACATTTTGTTCGAAACACCCTGTAGAACTCTATACAGGGTCCGTCAAATGTGCGTCGAGCATCTGTAGTCTGTCATAGCTCCTATAATAAAAAACTTTTTGTATGAGGAATTTTGTATGAGGGCAAACCTTAAGTATCTATTAGGATGTATTTCAGGAAAATATTTTGACTTCTATAAGGTGGGTGAAAAAAGTGTGAGTGGATCGTGATGATTTTTTTAAATGAAACACCCTGTATATTATTTGTTTGTTATATAGAGAATTAAAAAAGAACATTTTTTGTATTTAAAGTATTTTAAAATTTTTAGCGGTTTCGCAAAAATTCGCGTTTTTTACGTATGGCTGTTTTAACGGTAAAATACCAGACAGAAATCTATGGACAGAAATTATTAGAGGGCTTCAATGATGGCTTTGATAAAAAATTAGACACAGTTGAAAAAGTTTTTTTCTTACCTCTATATCTCTGGTTCAAATAGTCTTATGATACGGTTTTCAAATTATATATGAATAACATCATTTTTTAGAAAATTGCCCATCTCTAATCCTGCACCACAGCTTCAAACTTGGGGAAATGTATATGATCTAATCAAAAGCCACTAATATTGCTAAGATGAAGAAATACAACCTAACCCAATTTATATGTTTTAACCTAAAATTTTTACTACGTTTCGTTTTGTGTAAAAGAAATATTTATTTATAAACTATGTCCGTTGTAAGAAACAAAAATTCTAAATAGTACGTTTTAAATTTAATTAATTTAATTTTTAGAAAAGGAAAGTTTCAAAAATAAAACGAAACAACCAAAAAAAGAACAAACTTGTTAAGCAAGGCCTGTTAAAAAAACAACCGAAGAAATCTAAGAATCAAAATGTTCCAGAAAAGAAAGTGCAAAAAACGAACGAAGAAGTATCCGAGGAAGAAAGCGACCATGGAGAGGATATGTTGGGAATGGTGGATGAAGATGATCTAGATTTTCTGAAACAGGCCATTTCAGATCGCAGTTATAGCATATTGAACAGGGTAAAATATTCAGGGTACGGCTTTATAATGGATTAGAACAGTTTATAGGTACTTATTTATCCATTTTTATTAGGAAGACAAAACCAAAAAAGCGAAAAATCAACACAGATGATGAAACTTTGGAAAATGAATACGAAGATCAAATCGAGGATACAAGTGGAAAGAGAGTGAAGTCTTTGTTGCCGATAAAAACGCAGAAAGGTGGTTTAATCCATAAGGAGATTGTAGAAGACGTGCCTGGTATATTTTAAAAGCCAAATATTAACTTAATATCTTAAAATTTTGTATATATGGGTTATAGATGAAGAGATAGAAGATACTATAACAGATCAAAAGGAAGAAGTTGATGATAATTCATCGGATTCAGGATTAAGTGAAGAAGAATTTAGTCTTCAGGAAACTGGTATTGATATCAGTAAGCCAGTGTCAGCAACCCAACTTCTAGCAGCGAGAAATGAAATATTGAGACAGAAAAAAATTCATATTGGAAATTTGAGTTCAGGTATTCTATCAATATTAGATATATCTCCTTTTAACTTATAGTGTTAATGTGTGTATGATTGTAAACAAATAATGGTGTTTTATGAATGGGGTGTTGTGTCTACCCTTTAGTTAGATGTCTTTGGTTATTGCCATTTTAGAATCTCATACTTATTACTCTTTAAAATTAACAGGTTTACTAGAAAACCCAGAAGAAAAAGTTACAAATCTCCGAACATTGCTGAAACTGATGGATGATGAAACACCCGAAGTATATTTTACTGTTCGAAAATTAGTTATTGTGTCACTGTTAGAAGTTTTTAAAGATATTCTTCCTTTATATGAAATAAAAAATGTTCTTCAAGATGGTGTAAAAGGTGAGGAATAAACAAACTTATTGTTTACTTTATAAAATAGATTTTAAAATATGATTTGGATTAACTTTCGTTTAGCTGAAATCAGTTATGTAAAAAATATTTGTTTATTTAGTATATGGAACTCTTTCTAAATAGAAAGTCACGAAAATTTTTCTGCAAAAAATGCATAATTTTCAGATTTCCATCTTTGGAATAGCTGAAACCAGTTACATGACAACACGTTTCGGTTTTTCATTCTAGACATTTTTCTAAACATAAAAACGCCAAAAACTTCTTGTGGAAATGTACCATTTTTATCTATACTAAATATATAAAATCCTTAAGTGACTAACATACTGATTAATCACGTAAGAAGCTCAATTTTGGCATACAGGTTGATTGTAGGGTGTAGAGGTTCGATAAGAAGGGATTTTTCGAAAATTCCAGTTCCAAGAGGGTGAAACCACCCCTCAAATATTACAATATTTTTTATTTAAAAAACGGTCAAGTTTCCGAAAAAACGCTCAAACACGTATATTTTATTTTGTTTTTTTACATATTTTAAGATTTTTTAAAAATGTATACAGGGTGTTTCGAAAAATCCGGTCATTGATTAATCACGATCCTGCTTAAAGCGCTTGACGTAAAAAGCTGATATTTGGAAAAAAAATTGACTTTAGGGTATAAAGGTTCGATCAGAAGGGATTTTTTGAAACTCGAATTCTAAGGGGGTGAAACTATCCTCCAAATATTAAAATATTTTTTATTTAAAAACCGGTGAGTTTTTTGGAAAAACTCTTATACACGTATATTTTATTTAGTTGTTTTACATATTTTAAGATTTTTTTTTACAGGGTGTTTCATAAAATATGACCATTGAGTAATCACGATTCTGCTTAAACTGCTTGATGTTTAAAGCTGATTTTTGGCAAACGGATTGACTGTGGGGTGTAGAGGTTCGATAAGGAGGGGTATCTTGAATCTCAAACTCCAAGAGGATGAATACGCCCCTCAAATATTACAATATTTGTTATTTAAAAAACGGTTAGTCTTTCAGGAAAACGCTTGGACAAGCATAATTTATTTGTTTTTTTACATATTTAGAAATTTTTTAAAAAATCATACAGGGTGTTGAAAGTTGGGTAATTTCTTAACCACGATTCTGCTTACGCTTGAAGTATACTGAACTACTTGACGTAAAAAGCTTATTTTTGGCAAACGGATTTTTCGAAAGTCAAATTCCAACAACATGAAACTACCCCTCAAATATTACCAAGTTATATAATAATATCGCCATATTGTTTTTTCTCATGCTGACATAAATGTGAGAAAATTTTATCCAGTTTGTATGTTAATGGAAATTCTTGCCTTGCTTTATCATCACCATTACAAATTATTAATCGACGCGAACGAAGTCGCTGGTACACGCTAGTTTATTGATAAAATATTGTGAAATGTAAATTCACAAAAATCCTGATTATTATCTCTATTAATATTTCTTAATTTTTTTTTTACCATAATCTTATGTTTAGAACCTTGAAAATTTAAAACAGAATGGTGTTTTTATGTAACTGATGTCAGTTCTTCTAAAGTTAACACTATTTTATTTCAAGATGAAAATTACATATTTCCGCAAAAAGTACTTTATGTGTTTGTATTTACAAAAATGTTTAGAATGTAAAGCTGGAACATCTTTTCATGTAACTGATTTCAGTTCTGTATCCCAGAAGCAAACTATATAAGTCACAAAACATAGTTTTGGGAAAAACGAATTTAAATTTCTTTTTTGAAGTTATTTCCTAGTTGAAATATTCCAATTTTGGACTTAACATAGTTTGCTTCTAGGGTACCAAATTATTCTAATGTCGGAAAAGGGGAGGCAGTACAGGGAGGGGAATACAGGGTTGTTCACCACATACGACACGGAGTATTGTAGCTAAACGATTAGATTTTTGCAAATTGTAAGTTTTGGGTTCGTTGAAGGACTATTAGGGCTACCATTTAAAAATATTCTTACAAGATATAGAGTGTCCTAAATAAATTAAAAATATCAAAGTTGTATTTTTTTAAATGGAACACCTTGTATATTATTCTATTTTTAGATTCTACGATTGAAATAAAGGTAAATTTGATTAAGGTTTATCATACTTTACCGTTACCTTACCGTTATTGAAATATATTCAATTTAATGAAATTGCAGTAAAAATTTTAAGACTTCATTTCTCCAAGTGTATCAAAGTTTTTAATACTAAATATTTACTGAAGATGAGGGCAATTATTATTAATCAACGTAAACAGTCAATTAATGTACATAGTTTGAATACTGGAATCATATTAATTGGTTCTCTTTAACAAAAAATAAATATTTACACTTTTTTTATTTTTTAATGAGATAAGCGAACTATATCGACAATATTAGTATCTGTACTCTTTGAAATAGTATTAAGATTAAGACATAACAAATATTATAAGAAACATCTTAATATAAATCACAAACTAACTCAGTCTTAATTTGGTCTTGTATAAACACAGGTATAAAACTAATAAGATCAAAACTCAACCTTCACCATATTGTCAAGATTTGGTATTATAGGAAACAAGAAATTACAGTAAATTAAGAAAAGAATATCAAAGTACACGATATTAAATACTGTAATGTATTCTACGCAGATTCTACGACACAAACCATCTCCCTTCTAAAGAGAAAAAGATAAAACATAAAGCTTATTTTAGTCTTATCAACACACTCTTCGATAAAATATATGTCTAAAATTGCTATTATTAGTAACATTATAGGTAAAATGTTACCTAGTCTATCTCCCATTGACGTGTATTGTTCTATAAGATAAGACTCGCGTCATGGTAGTACATGGGTAGTACTTCAATACATCAATACATATAATCAAAACTATTGTTGCCTGTAAATAACTAGAAATTAAATAACTTGAAAGAAATAAAGTAATTCTAATAAGTTTAAAACCATCAAGAATGTAAATATAAATAAATGTTTACAATTTTATATATTATTTATATTATTTTGAATTTATTTATATTATTTCGAATATTTATATTGATTATATATATAATATTTTATATATTCCAAAGAACACCTTGTATATTATTCTATTTTTAGATTCTACGATTGAAATAAAGGTAAATTTGATTAATGTTTATCATACTTAAACCTTGCCGTTTTTTAAATGTTTTCAATTTTATGAAATTGCAGTAAAAATTTTAAGGCTTCATTTCTCCAAGGGTATTAAAGTTTTTAATACTAAATATTTACTGAAGTTTATTTATTGATTAGATATTGTATTGCAATAATAAACAAAATACTACCTTATACAGAGTGTCTAAAAATTTATATTAAATAATTACTAGCTTTAAACGGTAATAACTTCTTTAATTTAAATAGAACATCCTGTATATTTTACAAGAATCAGATGCACAATTTAATTGTGTATCAAATTGTATTATACCATTTTTTACCTATCTCTTCAAGTTCGTAGAAAATGCATTTTCTTATAATTTAGACCTCATTTATCACTATATCCATGGAATATTGACATTTTAGATTATTTTCAAATATTATTATTTTTAAATATTGTCGATATAGTTCGCTTATCTCATTAAAAAATAAAAAAGTGTGAATATTTATTTTTTGTTAAAGAGGTCCAATTAATATGAATCCAGTACCGTAGTTTGGGGCGAAATTGATAACCGGGGGCGAAATTGATAATTACATGGTTTAGTCACATTTTTAAATTTAGCGCCAAATTTAAAAATGTGACTAAACCATGTAATTATTAATTTCGCCCCCGTAAAAAATATCAATTTCGCCCAACGTAAACAGTCAATTAATGTAGTTTGAATACCGTAGTTTGGGGCGAAATTGATAACCGGGGGCGAAATTGATAATTACATGGTTTAGTCACATTTTTAAATTTAGCGCCAAATTTAAAAATGTGACTAAACCATGTAATTATTAATTTCGCCCCCGTAAAAAATATCAATTTCGCCCAACGTAAACAGTCAATTAATGTAGTTTGAATACCGTAGTTTGGGGCGAAATTGATAACCGGGGGCGAAATTGATAATTACATGGTTTAGTCACATTTTTAAATTTGGCGCTAAATTTAAAAATGTGACTAAACCATGTAATTATCAATTTCGCCCCCGGTTATCAATTTCGCCCCAAACTACGGTATTCAAACTACATTAATTGACTGTTTACGTTGATTAATAATGATTGCCCCAAATACCAAAAAACTGAATGTTGTATGTGTATTAGACAAGACAGTGTGTTAAAAAGTAACACCTTATAAATTTTATTTCATTTTTTGATGAATGCTTATTTATAACAGAGACATTCATTTCCATAACTTTTTATTATATTGATTTCTGAGTCAAATCCACATTTATTTAGAATAATTTATTAATTAAAACAATTAAGTACCAATGTAATTAACTAGGTAATTTTTGGGCTGAAGTAATAGTGGTATATGTAATTGGTATACTCTTTTACAAAGATTTAAATACATATATTTCTTTTCGTAAACAAATAGGCTTGCAATATTATTATTTTTACCACCTCTACATTTTGTACATATGTATGTTGCTTTAAAAAAATCTAAAATATCAATATTCCATGGGTATAGTGGTAAATGAGGTCTAAATTATACGAAAATGGATTTTCTGCGAAAACTTGAAGAGATAGATAAAAAATGATATAATACAATTTGATAGGTAATTAAATTGTACATCTGAGTCACCTAAAATATACAGGGTGTTCCATTTAAATTAAACAAGTTATTGCCGTTTAAAGCTACTAATTATTTAATATGAATTTTTGGACACTCTTTATAAGGTAGCATAATTTTTATTATTCCAACACCAATATCTGATCAATAAATCATCTTCAGTAAATATTTAGTATTAAAAACTTTGATACACTTGGAGAAATGAAGTCTTAAAATGTTTACTGCAATTTCATTAAATTGAAAATATTTCAAAAACGGTAAAGTTTAAGTATGCTAAACCTTAATCAAATTTGCCTTTATTTCAATCGTAGAATCAATAAATAGAATAATACATCTATAATAATTACAACTATAATATTTTTTACTTATTTGGGACACTCTGTATCTTGTTGAATTATTTTTAAATTCTAGCTCTAATAGTCCTTCAACGAACCCAAAACTTACAGTTTGTAAAAATCTAATCGTTTAGCTACAATATTTCATGTCGTTTGTAGTGAACAACCCTGTATACTCAATTTTTTGCGTCTTTTTTATAAGTGATTTCAGCTAAAGAAAATTTCACCCTATGATTTTTTTAGTGAAAAAGGATACTCTAAAGCTACACAAATACGAAGAAAACTTGCTCGTTTATTACAAGAAATATTTACAGAAGCTGGAGAAATATTGTTTTATGATAATGAAAAAGAAGGGCGATACCAGAAAAATTCTTGAGGTAAGATAAATATAAAGAAAAATAATAAAAAAATGGTGTGCTTACTTTTTTTACGTCTTTGATGAATTGCACGTCAATTTTTATTGATTTTTCTATATGTATAATTAAAATACTATTATATGTTATTTTTATTCAAATTCTAGGAAGATGTTAAAATTTCTGAGCTATCTATTTTTGCCATGTGCGAATTATTAGTATCTCACCCCTATTTCAATTATTCCCAAAATATCGCACAAGTTTTAGTACCTTTTCTAAATAATTCTAGAAAGTCTGTAAGAGACACAGTTAAAAATGCAATTAAAACAGTTTTTAAGGAAGATAAAAAGGAAGAAATCAGTTTAAAGGTAATCATTTATCATAATAATCATGCAATTAAAACATAAAATATTTTAGGTATTGCGTTTGGTAAATAATTATTTGAAAACGCATACTCACAATGTCCGTGTGGATCTGTTAGAAATTTTGTTAGTGCTGGATTTAAGAAACGTAAATTTGGATCAGGATAAGGAGCAAGAAATTAAACAGAAAAAATTGCAAGCGAAGAAATCAAACCTTCTGCAAATGTCTAAAAAAGAACGCAAGGTAAAATAAAACAGGGAAAATTTAATGACTTAATAAATTAAATTCTATTTTAATAATTTTAGAGAAAAAAGAAACTAAAAGAATTGGAACAAGAAATGTTGGAAACAAAGGCGGAAGAAAGCAAACAAATCAAACATCAAAATCTAACCGAGATAACGAAAATCGTTTTCAACATCTATTTTCGCATATTGAAAAACTCGGAAAACACGAAAATATTGAGCGTCTGTTTGGAGGGATTGGCAAAGTAAGCATGGCATTTTTTATTAATCGTATGATGCGGTACATTTTAACTACTCCTAATAGTATATGGTCCATTTGAACTATTACTGATGGTACAACTCCTAATAATATATGCGATATATATACTATAGCCAACTGTTATCCGGGACATTCGAACTACTACTAATAGAGTATGGTGCATTTGAACTACTAATGCTAAATGCGATCGTGCGGTACATTTGAACTACTCTTTATGGAGTACATTTTAACTACTATAGATAAGCAGCACATTTTAACTACTACTAATAGAGTATGGTGCATTTGAACTACTAATGCTAAATGTTATTATGCGGTACATTTGAACTACTAACAGTATATGGGCATTTGAACTACTATTGTATGGAGTACATTTTAACTACTATCGATAAGCAGTACATTTGAACTACTACTAATAGATTATGGCGCATTTGAACTACCAATACTAAATGTTATTAAGCGGTACATTTGAACTATTAACAGTATGTGACGCATTTGAACTACTATTGTACGGGGTACATTTTAACTACTATCGATAAGCACTACATTTGAAATACTACTGAAATGCCCTCATATCCAAACTATTAGTAATATTACGCTGTGCTTGTGAATTACTGCTGATTATATGCAGTAATGCAGTACAATTTTTGAACTACTGATAGCATGAGGTACATTTGAACTATTACTGGTGTTATGCAATATATGTGAAATCTTTGAATAAGAAGACTAAGGAAGGAGCATATCAAAAATCTTAGGTACACCGCGATGGGCCTCAAATATGGCCGACTTAAATTCCGGTTTATCAGTGCCGTTCTAATTTTATTTAAAAAATGTAAAACTATGATGTAGGGTAGACGTGGGGTAGACTCAATAATTTGTTGTTTTATTTTACGTTGTGAATAAATGTTGGTAGTTATTAAAATTGTTATAAAAATATATAATTCTAATAAAAATAGACAAGTTATAATAAGTATTTATTAACACAAACATCCGATACGCTACTGAAGCAGGTAAGTCAAATTAACGTATCTAAATTCTTTGACATCTAATCTTCGACAAGTTGTAAATGAAAGCTAAAATGCAAAAAAAAATATATAATTTAGTTAATTTAAGTGAATTTCATAAATGATCGGTTTACTACACGTATGTATATTTTATAGTCACTTACTAGCGAAAAGTTGTTCCATTATTTCACTCAATTTTTGCCGAGATCTACCGCACGCTACACAACCAACTATTTTAGAGTCTTTTTCGATACATCGCGATAGTGTCACTGTTAATTTAAGTTCTGCCACAATTTCCATCTAGATTTACTACCTTTATACAACTATCAGTAGTAGAATAAATTATAAATAACATAAAATAAACTCCGTAAAGACTGACAAATCCACAAAATTTCAAATCAAATTCAAATGTGTCAAATGAATCGTCAAACAGAACTGTCAAGGATCCCCACCCTAGAGAGCTTTTATGGTGCCTTTTCCGCCCACCATGCATGAATACATGGATAGCATTATGCTCCTTCCTTAGTCTTCTTATTCAAAGTGCGAAATACTATTGATGTGTGAACTACCAATATGCTGTACATTAGAACTACAACTGATTTTCTAGATTTGCGAACTGTATTAACTTGGAATATTACATTGACATAGTGAATGTTTTAAATAAGTTACTGAGCGAAGATTGGTTGGGATATCGGGAACAATTGCACTGTATTCAGACGATTTTTATAATGTTGGGCGGACAAGGAGAGGCGATCAATATCGACCCTACAAGGTAATGTATAATACTACAGATTCGGCTTAAATATTGATAAAACACAGTATTTGTTTTCATTAATGTTTTAGCTTTTATAACAATTTGTACAAGGACTTGCTCGTAACGAGCGCGGGCAAGAATCACGAAAATTGTCTGATCGTTCTGAAGACTTTGGTAGATGCTTTGGTTAAAAGAAGACGGAAAATAACCAATAAACGTGCGATCAGTTTCGTGAAACGACTGGCTACTTTAAGTTTACAGGTGCTGCACAATGGGTGAGTTAACATTAATATTTAATTAACTAATATTGTTATTGTGCGGTATATTTGCACTACTGCCGATTTTATGCGGTACGTTTGAACTACTGTCCATTTTCTAGATTGGGAAACTGCCTGGATTTTAACAAAAAACCTATAATTTTTTTGTTTCCTTTCCAGGTCGTTAGGCTGCCTGGGTCTAATTAAAACCATGATGCAACTGAACCGGTCCATCGATATTCTTCTGGATTTGGACAGTTCGGGTGGCGAAGGTCAATTCCAGGCTCAACTGGACGATCCAGAGTACGCAAACGCCTCGAACACGGCCCTGTTTGAAATGATACCTCTCGGCAATCATTACCATCCGGTGGTGAGGAAGTTTGCCAGGAATATCGCCAGCGGTGTTCCGGCTACTGGCGACGGCAGCTTACCACTGGAATATGGAAAACTGTAAGTTGTCACGCATTTTCTCTTTCAAAGGACACTGCGACATCGCTTTTTTTTCTGTGGGGTTTTAGAACAATTGAGCAATTATATGAAGACTACAGTATGTCCGAAATGGCCTTCAATCCAGCCGTCCCCGTGATGAAGAATGTACAGCCAAAAAGTCGACCAACTAGGAGGGATTTTATAGATTCGTCGTTTTATGAAGAATGTAAAGAAACTTTGCGTAGGCGTCAAACTGATAAATTCTTTTGGATAAGCTGTTAATATGTTTGAAATAAAAACCAAAAAAAAATGATTATCTATTTTCTAAAAATATTCATAGTATCTGTAGGTATGTCTATTGTGTATATAGGTGTCTATTATCGTTTTAGTAATATGTGAAGATAATTGTATAGAACATTAAAAATAATTATAAATTTAGCTCAATTCACGGATCACGCTTAGTTCGAATGGTTTATGTCTGGTTTTGTCGTGTATTTACAGCATTTGTATTGTAATTTTATAAAATACGATATCGATACTTCCAAATATCGATTATGATTAACAATTCTATTTTGAATTGTCCCATAGATAATTGTGCTTCCTAGATCATAAATAAAACTTGGGTATGTAAAAGAAATTATATATGATCCAAGTGAGATTTAATGGTAATTACGGCCAATTTTAAACTGAAAAGAAGAGAAAACTTTTTTAGAGTATCTAACCTAATTTTTTAACAGATAAACAATAAACGAAACTTAGTCAGCAAAATTTAAATTACTTTTACGATATTTAAAACCATGAGTTTAATAAATTTTGAAACTCCCATCGACCTAACGGGATTTACAATAATCGTTCCAAGTATCACCGTTGGCAACGTGCCTCAACTCACAGTAGATTTGTTAATTACAACATTGAAGTTAAAGAAAGCGGGCATTTTGTGGCATTCGGCATTAGTAAGCTCAGTTGGATCGGATCCTTTCAATTCCAAAATAACTACACCGTCCACAGCTGCAGAACTATACTATAATAGTAACATTAAGGTTGCAGTGATTCAGTTTCGGTCGACCTTTAATGTTCAACGACTAGGATCATTTATAACTGATTTATCCAATAGTTTTACCGCTCTAAAAATTGATAGAGTTATTCTGTTAGCCAGTCTATTTGATTATGAACTCTCAAATGTTCAGGACAAGGAGAGCATATTTTATTCGAGCAGTACTGAAATTAACGAAGAGCTTATTGAGAACTTAAGAGCAAAGCCTTTACAACAAGATGAAGATGGAGAAGTATGTACCAGAGGTACTGGATTTGCTGCTAAATTTTATAATATATTAAGGACAAAAGTAAATTGTATGTTAGTTGTCAAGTATGTGTCTGAAGGTGATAACACATTGGATGCAAAGAAATTATTAAGTCAGTTATTTGACATTGTTAATATTAAGTCTGGAGATTATACAGTATTGATTCCGGAATCTTGGACTCAATTAAATGACACACCAGTGTTAGGTATTTTCTAATATTACAGAACTTAGAAAAAAAGTTTATTTAAGAGACAAGAGATGGTATGAAATAAACATATAATTTATTTTGTTAATTTGTTTTAATTTCGCATTTAATTAAATTATAGGATACCACTTTTTCATACCAAACAAATGAGGTGACACCAGGGACAATATTGGCGATTTTTAATAGTTTTTTTTTGTGGTGTGTTGTGAACTTTGTGTAAACTTTATTACAATGGTGATTTGTTCGGCTTTCAAGTGTAAAAGGCGCAGAACCAGGAATTACATTTCATAGGTAAATAAACAAACAATTAATTTTCTGCGTTCCACCTTCTAGCTTTCTTTTATTGAATTGGATAAATTATTTTCCTGACATTATAATATGATATATGTGACATGCCCATAATCTATACAAGTTTTGTACCTTTTGTGAACGTTTTCAAACTTTTTTCTTTAAGTAAGTAAATGGAATAACACCACCTTTTTCTACCAAAAAAATCAGAAAAACTGTAAGAGCGCCAAAAGAACTTCTAACGGAAAATGTCGCCTTGTTGCATGTTACTTCTCTGATGTTACGATCATTTTTTGCTACATAAGTAATGCTGTGTCCAAAATAAAATATTCATTCTACTGAAATATTACCACAGTGTTATTTTGTATTATATGTTTTTAGATTTATCACGAATTTGTAACAATTCAGTTCGTTTTATACTTAAAAAAATAATTTATTTTAGATTAGATCTTGGCATAGATATTCAAATCTTGGCAAAATCTGGCAAAACTTAGTTCAAAATTTTCTCACTTTTTCTACAATGGCCACAGATTACCAATCCGAGATTAGTGCAATGGTGGGTGCCACAAGCATTCTTCTTTTCCCTTTTTCAGGTCTTAAAAGAACCGTAACCACAGAATAAAAGTAATATTCTTCTTCATTTCTATACCTACAGGACCTAAACATGGGCAACCACAGATTTGACATAGATTTTTTCTTCTTTATTTTTGAATGGCTTGAACATATATAGGTTAAAAGACTATCAGTAATCATCATACAATCCATATGTATATGAGCAGATCATATCTTTTTTATATATGAACCAACCTTTATGTTTCATCTTTGGCTATCCACCCTAAACAAGAGCAAAAAAGAAAAACAAAACATTTAAAAATGGCTGCACCATCATCCGGAAGGGGCGAGCACATACAAAAACAAATTCAACAAGATTGGGGCAACCGAGAATATATCGAAATAATCACAATCAGCATAAAGAAAATTACAGATTTCCTAAACTCTTTCGGTAAGATGTCGTGACTGATTCATTCGATATTGTCAATTATCCTCATTACAGATTTGTCTTGTCGTTCAAAACTTGCCGTATTAAATGAAAAATTAACCACTTTGGAACGGGAAATTGATTATTTAGAGGCTTGCGTAAGTTATTTCAGAGTTTTATCTACCGGGTGGCGAATTGTCGTTGGAAACAGGATATCCCATGCAAATTTTGAATTGTCCAAATATTGGCCCCTTATTGATTTGGCAACGAAGTCGTAAATAGATTTTTTAAAGGTCAGCATATGCTGAATTCACATGCCAAATATGAACAATTTGGGAGTATTACGCATCTATTTTTAAATTAAACTGAACAGGGAACAATGCAGAACCAGGCAAATGCTAATATACCTTAAGTTTACAGTTGGGGGTTGGAACCTTTTGGTGTTACAGCAGCAAAATAAAACACTAATTCACCACAATACACCAAAATACTTTTATTTTTATACTGTTCAATAAATTTGCATGCAATTTCCAATGTTTCCAACGACAATACACCACCCGGTATGTTGTTTACCTATAATAACACATTCTTGTAGGTAACCAAAGGTGAAACGCTTACATGAAAATAGCAGGATAAGTACACATATTCCTTTTAATTATATTATGTCTTGTATTATTCTTCGAACTTGTAAAAATATCACTTTCAACGTACATAAAAGATTCCTGTTCCATTGGGTCAATAAACAGTTCAATGTGGTGGACGAGGATCGCAGAAAATTACTCGGGCCTGACCGAACGTGTGCAGAATGGATTTTACGCAACGGTGGCAAAGTAAAATGGACAAATTCTCACGAGTACGAAGAGGATTACAATAAATTACCCAAGGAAGAAGTACAAGTGAAGATACAGGAAATCGATGCCAGTAACAGTTCGATAATGGCAATCGGTTTCGAGCATCTAAAAGGTTGTAATAGTATCAGTAAAATTGTCCTGCACCAGTGTTCCCACCTCGAAAACGAGGCCTTAAAGGAACTACATCACGTGAAAGATTCATTGCTATTTTTACAAGTGTCTCAGTGCGGTAACATTACGGAGACGGGTCTTCTACATTTGATTGTTCTTCAGAAACTCAGAACTCTTATTATTTACAGTTTACCATATATAAAGGATCGTGTAAAAATATTAGATACACTTAAGAATGATATGAAACAATGCAAAATTACTTATGATGAATGATACCTAGTAATAATCTTTAAATGGGTTTGTACATTGGTATTTAAATATAATATTGTGAATTTTCTGTAATTTTTTTTTTCAAATTTAAAATAGAGTTTATATTTTTTGATCTAAGTGATGATTCATTAGAATTTAGAACTTTTAATAAAATACCTACTGGTGTTTATAAATGCCAGATAAATTGTGAACTTAATTGTCAGGTAAAACGGAGTATTGTCCAGAAAACCGACGGTAGTTCTCAAGCAAGCCCTCTTTCTAGTGTTTTAAGTCTTGAAAATAGTTACTTTTAAATTATACCATTTTTATTAACAAATACAACACACAAATGAAATTACAAAGTAACTAAGTAAACAAATTTTTGGTAACATTCTTGTTAAATTGATACTGATTTAATTTTCAAATAATTTATATATATTTACATAGAAAATATTAACTTATTTATATACTGTAGATTATGTAGATATCTATTTTTTAATTACTAAAAAGATTTGGGTCCTAGAAAAGGCATAGAGCGTGTACCAGTTGTTTTGTTCTGCCTTCAACTGAGAATTCGTTAAAGTAGTGAAAGTAATGAACGTAGGAATTACTATAAGAGATTTATTTATTTTGAACTGTACACGGTGTTTCAAATCCCAACTTCTGATAACACCATCTTGTAAATTATGCAAATATTTGGGCGAACCCACTTGTAAAATTCGATTATTCACCAAACCTAAATTGAACTGTCTGCGTTGTGCTGTATTGTCGTTATAATTAAGGCTATCGTGCTGTTGTGCAGTCTTTGTGAGGTAAGATAAGTAAGGTAACATATTGTTGTTAAAATTTGTTAGACTACGTTAAATTAACAAAATAAATATATTTGGGTAATATGCTGGATGCACAACATCGGACATTTACTCAAATTTCAATATACCGGGTGTTTGCCCATCTCTGGACACTACACAATAAAAATAGTACTAAACAAAAACCACCACCGTTATAGTTATGCCTATGTTAATATACATTCTCATCAAACAAACAATATGTGGTTTATTAAAATAGTTTTCATGTCATTAATGTCACACAAACTGCACTAGTAAAAACAAAATACTTAAATATTATGACATAGCCACGATTTCAATATTATTTCAATGCGATCAACATGAACGGTAACCTGGACGGTATGAAATAAAGTAGCCGGGCAGTTCTGATCTCTGCCGCATCGAGCACTGAAGTCGCAATTTTAAAAACCTGTTTAAATACACCAAGCCTACACTAAGGTGGCAAAGGTTAGTCTTGGGTCGAGATTTCCGTATGTAAGAAGAATACAATGCGTTTATAATGTACTGAACAAAGAGAACAATAAGAACGTTGCCAAACGTATTAAATAAACCGAGAAACTGTGCACATTGCTAAGAGACGTGAAAGGGGATATAGCAGATTATTGGCCTGTCGACCTGTCGCACAGTGCTTCGTCCCATGGACAAAAATCAAAAAATAAGTTAAAATTTACTAATATCTGAATATATAATTTTATACTTATAGCAATGTTCAACCATCCTGTATATTATTTTTGATAAACAGCGTTTTTGTTAGCAAATATTTTCACTAAAAATAAATTTTGCGATCATTATCTCATCAGTGAAAAGAATAACATTCATAGTAGTTCTGTATATTATGGAGTTAAACGGGTACGTACTTAATTGAAAGCCACTATGGATATTGTTAAACACAAGGTATGTACTTTAAATTTATTTCTAAACAAGTTCGTGATTGTTTAGTTTTTATTTATTTTTTAAGATGATTCATAAATGGGTATAAAAATTTTACGTTTTCCAATTTCAAAAAGGCATTTAAAAAAAACATATCAAAACATATCGTATTTATTGAATATTTTTGTTGCCATATTCATACACTTTTAATTTTTGTATAGTTCACCTGCATCTGCTTGCGACGAACTTTATTTTATAATACTTTTCAGATGAAGTAAAATTGATGAGCAATGCCGATCTGGCTAATACTTGGCTTGATCATAAGGGCAAGAACTCAAAATTATTTGTATTTCAAAAAATATGTTCTTATTAGATATTGATGAACCTTCCAGTCAAATGAGACACCACTTGTGCCTGAAAAAGTCCACTATGTTGGAGCGAAACGTCGCATAAAAAAAGTGTCCATCTTTCAATTTATTATAAAATCTCATGCCCAAGAAAAGGAAAAAATAATATATGAATATGGTCTATTAAAGAGGTAACTATTAACATCCGAACCCCTCATACCGACAAAATGAACAGTAACAACGCGAAAAAGTAATATCTTAGAAAATGATGTACAGAAATATCTTATATGTGAGGATAGTTCATCTACCTGTGATTTGGATACTATAAATTTGGAAGATTCTGTCAGCAGTGATTCTCCTGGATCAGAGTAGTTACGATCTATGCATTTTGTTGTCCTAAAGTAAATTTATAGTATCTTAAGTTTTTTCTTTAATTAAATATAACATTAATGTTTCTTTTTCATTAAAGAAAACTTTTATCTTATATTAGGCTTATATTGTAGGAATCATGTTCTAATGTTATTTCAATTCTTTTTTATCACAGGAATTTATTTAATACTTACACCGTTTTCATACTATAACTTATTTGCTTAGATGGAACACAGCTCCAACATTATTATTATTTATAAGATTTTTTTTTCATAAACGTGAGACTAAGAACATCATCATTTAGTACAATGAGAGTACTCATCATTTGTGTCAAATAAACCTAGTTTGAATAAATTGCTTACAATAAAAGAGAAGTTTTGGATTTTTGTCCTCTAGAGCCATATGTTCGAAGCACTGTGTGTCGTCTCAATCAGTGCCATATCAGTACTTAAAATTCTAAGGAAGAGTGTACATTATGTGTTCAGCTTCACGATTTAATTACGTTTCGTGATACCTTATTTGTTTATTTATTAACAAGTCGTTGTAATTTTCCCTATAGCTTGTAAAATTTTAAGTGCAAGTTAGAAACACTTGCACTTTTGGTAGAAATAAGTGGAATTGAGTTGGTGTTCGACAGTGGTCTCGCTATTAGAACTCTGAATTCAAAAATCGATATCTCGAAATCCATTAGAAATAATTGATTGTAGTTTTTTTTTCAAAAACTTTCTTAATATTTCTGCTATATTTTCTTCGCGAAAGTTGCAATGCACTAAAAGTAAATGGATGTTTTTTTTTAATTTTCAACGAAAAAAAAACAAGTCTATCCAATTTTTCTTATTTAAACATCTTGTTTTTACAGTCTTTTGATTCGAATTTCAAAATAAAAAAAGTTTCAGTATCTAAAGTAGTTCTTGAGTTATCCCGTGTTGTGTTAAAAAGTTATTTTATTATAAGATTATTGACGTTTTGTCGTCATAAAAAAATGGACACCCTAACGATATCCTTATAATTCAATTTCTGATGCTCAGAAACATATCTAATGATTTTATCTAATTGTATTTTCGAAAATAAAAGTCTTTTAAAAATAAGCGTTTTGCGATCGTGATTTTATTTTACTTGATAGAGATAGAGAAATGTGACAACGCCGCAACAGTACACTGTCGCATTTCTCTCACTTCGGCTTAATAAGATCCCTATGCGATTTACTTCCACACATGTAAATACCGACCCAAAAGTAAGAGTTGCCGTCACTGTATAAAAGTTAAAAAAAAATATACAATAGACACAAATTATTTTGAGAGCCGTATACAGTATACAGGGAGTTTTAAAAAATAAAGATATACAGGGTGTTTAAAAAAGGCACTTAAGACTAGAGTTTCTATGTATGAATTATTTTGGGACAATGTTAGTTTTTTAAATATTTAAAATATAAAATGGGTGACTTATTTGCCTTTGGCGAACGCTTTCGCTTCTTTGAGCATCCGTTTCCTGTCTTCGGACTCGCCCACTTCCTGCGAATCGGTCCAGTCAGAGTCGCTGCTAGCGCTGCTCGGTTCGAAATCGTCGCTGGAATCGTCGTTGATGAAGGGATCTTCAATATCGTAGTCGTCATCGGGCGTTTCTGCGTCTACCACTCTTTGTGGTTTAGGGTTTCTCTTGCGTTTTTTGCTGGGAGAATTCGGTACCGCTTGAGCGGCTTGAGCCTGATTATCTACAAAAAAATACACAGTGTCACAGATAAAGTCGGCACCATATGGATTTTTTTAATTTTTTTGCTTTGAGTTAGATTAAAAATGACATAAGAAAATTTACTCTATTGCCCTCTGGTATCAATTTAAATGTCAAATTTGACATTTAAAATAATAAATGGCTATATACTCTGAGGGTGCAGCCACACTATCCTAAAAACGGCGTAACGGCGTAATGACCTTGAATATATTTCCAGTAATTCTATTGGCTGAAACATTCATCTGTCAGAAATTTTATCTGTCAAATTCATCTGTCAAAAATTTCAGCCAATAGAATTGCTGGAAATCGATTCAAGGTCATTACGCCGTTACGCCGTTTTTAGGATAGTATGGCTGCACCCTGAATAGAATGACGTATCATATGTCAACTTTTGACATTTTCGCTTAAAAGCAAATTGTATTTTAAATTTCAATATGGCTGTGTTAAAAATATTAATTTTTAATCAAGGATTCTTGGAAAAATATATTAGATCGTCTAATGTTTTTCGTGTCTTGTTCTGGCCGGTTAAAAGATGCCCAAATTGTATTTTTAATCATATCTCAATTTTTTCAAACGGAACAAGAGTGGCTCATTAGCATATTTGGAAAAAGCATTTTTTACGAACAATTTGGTACATACAACACACTTGGATTTCGAGTCGAGAATTGTCGTGATGAATCGCATGTTACAATTTCAAATAAACTATATCCGAAAATGTCAAAAGATGACATATGATATATCATTCTATTCAGAATGCCATTTTCTATCGAATGAAGTAAAAAAATACCGAGGGTGTCATTTAAAAATCAAAAGTTGTAGTCATTTCCGGTGAAACAGGAAGGGACTAAAAACAATTGAATACGTCAATCAATCCTAATTTATGTCATATACTAACATACCAAATCTCGTTTTGTTAACTAAAAAAAAAAAATAAAAAAGTTATAGGGGTGGGCCACTTTTGAGACGCACCCGGTATAATAAAAACAGGTTTCCTGGCCAAATTTCGAAAAACTTTGTTTGAAAAAGTTGTTCCTTTTTTAATTTTATATAAATATACCAATTTATATATATATTATCTGTGTATTTATATACCAATATTTTTTTTGTCATTTTTAACCAATCGCAGCCGATTCTCGTAATAGACGATATCATGATCATACAGGGTGATCAAAATTCTTTATATGTATGTATAATTAATATATTACAATTTATAATTAATATTATAATATAATATTAATTATAAATTTTATTAATTACTTATAATGTATTAATTACTTATAATTAATTACTTATTAATTAATTATAATTAATATTATATTATAATATTAATTATAAATTGTTAATTTCTCGGCAATTATCGAAATATGTTTACTCACATCTTAGGATTATGTAGAGTGATAAAATGGATATGTAGAAAATTAATATTGAGAAGTCAAATTTCACCCAAGTCAATTAATAAAAAAAAGTTCCATATGATGCGAACTTTATCTATGACACTGCATACATATTTTTTTGTATTCCAGTATATAACCATATATTACAACCCTATTATCTACAGGGTCCTGCAATAGTAGGTACGTCGCAAGGACTGTATATATTCTAAAGGACTGTTCGATCCCGTCAAATCGCCGCTGTTCTAGTCGCCGTGGAATTCTGACCAGCGCTCCACAGTGCGGCGGATGGTTATTCTAGCGGGACAAAATCTCAAGAGCAATGTTTGGGACTTAAAATCTAAGAACGTAGCAAATAGTCTAATATATAGCAACTATATGGTTAAATTTATTTATTTATTAACAACTTAATTTATTAATAAATAAATACAAGATAATAAAACGATATGATATTATTCGTACATGATACACAAAAACCGTATTGTAAACTATTGCCAAATACATAAAATTATGATATCAAAAAACTCTTTAGCAGTTATTTTTAAATTAATTTGTAATCTTGTGACACCCTCTATAATTTATTTTAAAAAAATATATTTTATTTTGAAAATAATAAATAAGATAGATATTTTAATTTTAATTTTAACACTCGGTAATTGTAAATTCATATATTAAGTATCTAAGACAATTTTTTAAACTCAGTGCCTTTTGATGGAGTTGTTTTGTTTTTATACTATCCGATTGAAATGAATCTTTTTGGGCATTCACCTGTTAAGCTTGAACTCCCTGTGACTGCGACTACCTGTGTTGGTAACTATTGGTAACTCAAAAGATCTACATCATTCAATATATCGATATTTGAAAAAAAAGTGTAAGTTTGATATCTGCAGAACAAAGGCACGAAGGATTTTAACAAATAATATACATACAGTAGAAAAGTACATACCTTTGGCAATCTTCAACATAATTTGGCTTTCTAATAAAATGTATAAGCATTTGTAAATATTTTGTTTTCGTATGATCTCTGCCTTGCTGAGCAGAAAACGACCAAATTTGGTTGATAAAAATGTATCGAAATACAAAGAATATTCATGCATTTTTTATCAATTGGAATGTCTACTATTTATTCTTATCAGTACACATTTTTTGGCTTATTTCTAACCAAACGCTTTTGTCCCGCTAAATTTATCTTCGAACGCACTGTGCGCTCGTCCGTCAAATGCAAAAATAACTGTCACTGTCTAAAATCGTTAGCGCCAACTTCAACTCGGTCAGTAGATGACGTAAAAAAACTGACAGTGCAGGAAGATAGGAATCGAACTATAGGAATAATTTATCATTTTGTGTGAACTCCTTAGATTTATTAAGTAAATCTAAAGTGCACTTAATAGTAAAAATATTTTCATTGTATAAAATCACACCCTTTTTGGGGTATGCTTTTAAGTAATGGGGGAGGAGTTATATTCAAGTAAAACTTGCAAGATTCGTCCTTGTAGGAAACTTATAAATACAAGTTCGATGCAAATTACGCGCAGTTCTCTTGTAACCTCTGAACAATAAAGATTGTTTTTTAAAAACGGTCCGGCGTTTACTCTACACGTAACTATTTACTTTGCAAATAAAATGCCAGTTTGCCGAAATTATTTTATTTAATTTTTTTTTTAATTGTAAATTTGAAATTAACAACGTTTTTTATGATGTATGGAATAATTTTAACGGTTTAATTATATATTTTATGTTGATTACTACTTAATCAATTGTTCGATAATAAAAAAATGCTAACAACTAAACATTGGAACAAGTGGCTTTTAACAAATTAAAATAACAATTAATAAGGCGTAACGTCGCCCTTAGCTCGAATAACAGCCTGAACTCTATTAGGCATTGTACCAACTAGGCCGTCACAAAATTCAGGGGTGGAACTATCCCATATTAGTTGCAACTTAGCACGTAGTTGTGGTAAAGTACGCTGAGGATCATTTCTTAGGTGTTGTTTCATTTTGTGCCAATGTGTCTCTATTGGATTAAGATCCGGGCTGCTAGAGGGATGCGACAAAACTTTAATATCATGTTCTCCCATCCATTTTTTTGTAGATTTAGCCGTATGGCATGAGGCTCCGTCCTGTTGAAAAATAAAATCTCCGGATGGATGTAACTTTGCTGCACTTGGTAAAAGCGAATGTTCAAGGATATCTTGATATTTGGCTGCGTTTACTGTGCCTTCAATAAAGTGTAAAATTCCCAATCCTTTGGCCGACATACAACCCCATACCATGATGCCTTGTGGAAACTTTACAGTTCTTTTGATACAATCCTTATGGAATGCTTCTGTTTTTTTCCGAATCACACGCTTTCGGTAATCTCCCACGCGTACATCAAATCTGCTTTCGTCACTATAGACTGTGACTATAGATAACTTTGTCCCAGTTATGTTTGGTCCACGAAAGTTTTGATTTGGCCCAAATGTAACGATTCCTTTTTTGAGTTTCCGAAAACCGTATATGCAACAATTACCGAAAATAATAAATTTGAATAAGTAATATTTGGCGACAAAATTCCGGAAAAAGCCGAACCGCTCCGAAATTATCAAAAACTTTGGAGAGGGACCGTTTAAGAATAGCGCCAAATACCGTATGATCGAGAAAAAACGGCGTCAGCGATGGCTGTGGAATGAAGATCGCTGTCATTTTAGATGTAAATTTATATGGGAAATGTCATTGATGTTCATTTCCCAGCCAACTGGACGCCGTTTTTTTTCGATCATACGGTAGTATTTACATTGCCCTTATGGGCACTTTCCAATCTAAACTTGTTTCTTTTATCTACACACACCGGAAGAGTCTAGGGATATTACAATTTTATCCCGCCATCGTCAGTAATTTTATTATTTGCATTTCTGATATAATAAAATTAAAATAAACAAATAGTTTACAGGACGTATTGGAAATAAAAATGCAAAATTTACCGAATTTTTCAAATTTGCCTTGATTTTTATTGAACTCAAAAAAATACACACATTTTTTTTTATTCTAAACTGTGAATTAAAAAAAAGATAAAACCATTTTTATTTAATAAAGGGTATGGCCTCCTCTACTGTTCATTACAGCCCTACATCGTCTCTCCATGCTCCTGATCAAAATGGTTGTTGATCTCTTCTTGAGGTACAGCCTGTCACGCTGCATTCACGGCCCGAACCAGATCCCTACGAGTTTCACGAGGCAAACCCATTCTCAAAATTCTTCTTTGGACCGCGTCCCATACGTGCTCGATAGGGTTGAGGTCAGAAGATTGTGCCGGCCAGGGTAAGATGTTTAATTGATGAGCATTGATAAACTCACTTACCACTCTGGCTGTATGAGGCCGTGCATTGTCATGCATGAGAATGAAGTTTCCCCCAAAATCATTGGCATATTATGTTATTATTATTATTTGGCGATATGTGATTCCTGTTAGAAACCTTTCAAGAAAAACGAGATCGGTTTTTCGGCCTAACTGGACTCCTCCCCAGACTATAACTGTTCCACCTTGATAAGGGTGCACTTCCTGAACATGATCCAACCGAATAAGATTTCCCGGTTCTCTCCATACCCTAAGCCTTCTCGAATCCGGATGAATTCCAAAGCGTGACTCATCCGTGAAGAGAACATTGGCCCATTGTTCATTCGACCACTGAACATGATCTTGAGCCCACAAATATCGTACCTCTCGATTTCCTCTCGTTAAGGGTTGAGCTCTCCAGAGGCGTCTGCTTCTTAAGTTGACCTCTCTTAATCTATTGCGAACAGTGTCAGGACTAACGGTTACATTATGTGTTTCCTGGAGAATTAAACTAAGCTCTGGTGCTGTAAGAGTCGGTCGGCGTCGAGCATTTAATTGTAAAAATAATCTTGCTGAGAGGTAGTAATGCGATGTCGCCCTGTGTGCCTTTCAGCAACATCACCACTTTCACGGTAGCGTGCACTTAATAGCGATATTACACTTTGCGTTGCATTTAATACTCTAGCTACATCGATTTGGCGCATTCCAGCTTCGAGCATACCCATGGCCCTTAGCATTTCGTCTCTGTTAAGATGTTTACGCTCCATAATGTCGTTTAATACTAAACAGAGTTATTTGAATGAATTCTGGCCAGTTATCATAAAAACATAGCCAGTACAGGTTAAATTCGAACAATTGATGCTAAGTGCTTTTTATACATTTGACAAAAAATGCATAAACACTTCTGCAAATATCCCAAATTTAGAAATAACTAGTGTGACTACTTCGTTTCAATCGAAGTAGAAAGAATCGGCCTACAAATATGTGGTTGTTTATTCAAAACATTTATTTTTAACTTTAATAAAATGATATCCCTAGACTTTTCCGGTGTGTGTATGTGCAGCACCCGGTATGACAGGTTAACATGATATAACATTCCAGGTTAAATTATTTGACAGATTTTTTTTTATTTTCTCAAAAATGTCAATAATGGAAAATGGATATTTCCCAATTATCCTTCTATACACAGTGTTTGATGTGTTTTTCCATTTGTACAAATGTACTATCCTGTTCTACATTTAAAGACATGGAACAATTCCCCGAGTACTGCAAGCCTTCCGAAGAACAGTTGTTCAACTACGATAATAAAATCGTGAATCGAAAAAGAGAAGCAACGCCTTTTACTTATGCCTTTAAAATATCCTACAGAAATAACATGTCCAACGCATATATAACAAAGACAAAGAGCGATATTATCCTAGAAGACAGATCTACATTAACTATTATTGGCGATAATGGTAAAAAATACACAGAAGATATTAATAAATACAACGAACTGTACGAAGGCTATATGGAGAACAGACCTCAGGATTCTTTCATTAAGGGATACATCAAAGATGGTTACTTCTTTGGGCGGGTTGTGATCGACAAAAAGGCGTATTATATAGGTGAAAGTGAACCAGTAGCCAGTCCTCTTTTATTCGATCGACCAAACGATTTGTATAAAAAACTATACGATAAAAACGATCCCAGTTATGACGCTGCCTTTATTAAAGAAGCGGAAAAAGTTTATCGAGAAAGCGAGTTGGACACGAACAAAATGACTGAAAAGGAGATCATGCGGCGCTTTAAGAAATGGAAAAAGGAAGGGTAAAGCGAATTTATTTATATGTACTACGACTATACGAAGTTTTTCATACACTCGGTTCATTAGCAGTTTTTAGGACCTAATTTCACCGGCTTCGGCGTAGCGTGGCGTCAATACAAGGGGATGTAATTTAACATTTTACCAACATAATAAGTTTTTTTTTATTAAAGTCTTTAATTTTGAAGTTACAAAAATAAAATATAGAAAAAATGTAACAGGTTAAAAAAACAATCATACCAACTAAAAAATTTTGTAAGATTTTAAATTTTAAAATTAAGATCAATTCTTCTAGCAGGCATATTTGTGAAAACTTTTAATATATGAACGTATACTTTCTGCTATCGAATCGTTCATCGTGACGCGCGACGATATTTTTTATTTTATACCGCGAACGAGATGTGTTTATGAAACCGCATCACCCATCGACTGAAACAGCCATAGACTTAAAATAAAATATAGACTACACTATTTACATCTCAACGCGGACAAACAACCTTTTTTGTACACATGTTTACTTCTGGGTACAGTCGACCGAGCCTTCCTCATCCAGCCTATGTTGTCACGTCTTTAATATTATCAATATTTTTTTTTCTTGTTATACACATATATTGAGATATTAATACTACAGTTTAATAAAGTAGGTTTTAATATTCCATAGATGTATTAAATAGTCCTTATACTACTAAATTATAAGTCGGATACTGTTTAATAAGGATAAGTTCTTTACAATATGACAACACCGATTAGAGGCGAGGGAGCCTATTCATTCATTTATTACCTTGTAGTACGTGTCGCACGTGTGCGGTAAAGCTTTGTTGCCGCTATCTCCCCGGCTGTATTAACGCATTCTCTTAGCTTGTAGTCCTTAAGTGTTTATTTTATTGACTTTTTCTGTTCAGGAACTATAAAATATGGTTCGCCAGTGCCAAATTTGCAAGAAATTTGACTTAAATAATCCATTTAAGTCTTGAAACGACTTTGGACCGGTAGGCAACTCTCAATTTACCCATTGGCAGTCAGTGGCGTTGTTGTAGAAAGGCGCTTATTTAGATAATATTTTAGTAAAATGTAAAATCTGAATTTTTTCTTTTACATTACATTATTTACTTACTTACATTGTAACAAAATCATAATTATAACCCTGTTAATAATTAATAATGTTTTTATTAAAAATATATTCCGGTTTATTCTAAAATTATCTTCAGAATCTAAAATAACGTACAAGAATTTTAAAATGATATTACATTATGAAACAATATTTTTTAATATACCGGGTCGTCTCAAAAGTGGCTCAACCCTATAACTTTTTTTATTTTTTCAGATAAAAAAACAGATTTGTATGTTAGTAGGTATATGACATAAATTAGGATTTATTGACGTATGCAATTGTTTTTGGTCTCTTCCTGTTTCACCGAAACGATTACATCTTTTGATTTTTAAAGGCACCCTCGGTATATTGCTACTTTATTCGATAAAAAATGACACTCTGAATAGAATGACATATCATATGTCAACTTTTGACATTGTCGCTTAAAAACATATCCTATTTTAAATTTCAATCCAGTTTTTTTCAATCCACTAAGTTTTAATCAAGGAGCCTTGGAAACATAGTTTTGATCGTCTAATAGGTTTCGTGTCTCGTCTAGGCCGGTTAAAAGATGTACAAATCGCGTATTTTTAATAATACATATGTCAATTTTTTCAAATGGAACAAGGGTGACTCATTAGCATATTTGGAAAAAGCATTTTTTTATGAATATATTGATACCACACACTTGGTATTTCGAGACAAATTGTCGTTATGAACCGCGTGTTACAATTACAATTAAACCATATGCGAAAATGTCAAAAGTTGACATATGATATGTCATTCTATTCAGAGTGTCATTTTCTATCGAATAAAGTAGAAATATACCGAGGGTGCCGTTTAAAAATTAAAAGTTATAGTCATTTCCGGTGACACAGGAAGTGACCAAAAACAATTGAATGCGTCAATCAATCCTAATTTATTTCATATACTAACATACTAAATCTTGTTTTTTTATTTGAAAATATAAAAAAATTATGGGGATGAGCCACTTTTGAGCCGCACCCGGTATAATAAAGACAGTACCGAGTTAAATAAATGTAGTTTTTATTTTATCCACTTCCTATCACCTTCCTTGCTTTAATGGAACAGATTTATGTTTTCTCTAATTTACATAATAAGACATCACTTAACTAGAAAAAAAATTACAACAATCATTTTTTTTTCTCTCCCTGTCGCCGATTCTATTATATCTGTGGAATAGATCCGGTTTTGATTAATATTAGGGGTTGTAAATGTTTGACTAAAATTAATAATTTATTATTAATTTCAAAAATTACGTAATTTCGATTATAAAATTTCTTCTATAACGTGTATTTTATTATGTTTATCCTTTTCGGACTCTAAGACGTTTTTTCTAAACTTTTATGTAAAAAACCTGTCCTAAATCTTAATAAAATATAAAAACGTTTAAATACGATATATTTTTAATTTACTTATAGCTTCATTAAAATAAAAAAATTACCCGGCTATGATACGGAGAGTTCAGGTGTACTTGAGAAACGAAAGACAGTGTTGTGTTTCTCGGCAGAGTCGTCAGGGAACGACCGTTACGACAGAGACAACCTATCTATCGCTCGTGTCGCACTCGTTATAACCTAAAACAATAACACAACAATAACAAGACAGTGTCTGACCGCATGTTCCAGCTATTTATGAATGAGATGCTCAGTCTATATTTTATTTTAAGTCTATGGAAACAGCGAACGGGAAACGTGATCGCGGCCGGAAAGTTCGCTGACCTAGGCTCGCGTTCGCCGGCGTTCAAGATGTAACGAGGACAGTCGGTTGCATCATCGCGCTGTCGAGGTTTTTTATTTTTAGCGTTTAGCGTAGGTCTTATACTAACGATATCATATATGTAAGAACTCTATTTTTCTATGCTACGTTTTCTTTATCTGACGTAATAAAAAACAGACATTTCAAAAGCCGGAGCGCAATGGAATTTCGAATGTAAACAAAAACAAGCCCAAAATTCATGCTACCTGCACTTTTCAAAAAGGTTTCAGATAACATTCAATACAGTATCGCCGTCTAAAACAGTATTAGACAGCGTCAGAGAAAGAAGTGGTACGCGCTTATTAAATTAAAACTATTAAAGTTTCTGAGGTTTAATTAAGGTTTTGTGGTAGTTCTGAGTTCCATTGCCGTGCCGAATAAGAAGTTTAATTAAGGTGAGTTTATTTTATCTCACTGAGCAACTAGTTGGTTACTGTTTATTGTTTTTATTGAGATATATTATATTTCTGAATCTCAGATAAATTTTAAGATATTTGATTGAATATAAAGAAAAGATGATTTGCGGATGATAATATTGAAGTATTTCTTTACAGTGATTTATTTATATTTTTTCTAAGTGACTTTAATAGAAGATAAGAATATATTTCTGTATTTGTATTATCAAATTGATCTTGAATGAATTATGATTAGCTTTATTATTTTCTACAGTTAACCTTTGTGGCGTAGTGACCCTGTGTAGCGTAGTTAGACTTGAAGAGTAGTTCGTCCTGTAGCGTAATTAGCCTTGACAAGTAGTTAGTCCCGTAGCGTAATTAGACTTGAATAGTTAGCCCCGTAGTGTAGTTTGATTATTAACTTGTGCATTTTTTTTAGCCTGTGTGGCACTTTGATAGCCTGTGTGGCATTTTTTTAGCCTGTATGGCATTTTGATAGCCTGTGTGGCATTTTGATAGCCTGTGTGGCATGTTTTTTTTAATAGTCTGTGTGGCTAGCCTGTGTGGCACTTTGATAGCCTGTGTGGCATTTTTTTAGCCTGTGTGGCACTTTGATAGCCCGTGTGGCATTTTTTTAGCCTGTGTGGCATTTTGATAGCCTGTGTGGCATGTTTTTTTTAATAGTCTGTGTGACCAGCCTGTGTGGCTTGTGAAAATTAAAAAGTCATAGAGCTGAGCCACTTTTGAGACGCACCCAGTATTTACAGGGTGCTACAAATTCGAGGTACGAGCATTGGTATCTCGGAAACGGTAATAGATACGAAGATAGTTAAATTGGAGCAAAGTTGCCGCCTTGGGATGTTCACAAAGATGCAATCAAAGAAGTTTTAAAAATTTCAAGGATTGCTGAGTTTTTTGGAAAAAAAACGATTTTTTTGAAAATCAATTTTATTTTTTCCTGTCGTTACTTTTTAGAAAATCAAAAAACTAATTCTACATTCTGATAGCCACTTTATTAGGGCTATCTGTCAAATTAGCTGATAATATATAAGATACAGCGGCCAACTTATTTTTTTAAATACGGACCTGCATTTTTTCGTTTAGATTTTGAAAGAACTCTTTATACGTCTCGGTCCTGAAGAATTTCCCCACCATTTTAGAGATTTGTTGGCCACCCACCGTCTTCTCTTATTGGTGGTATTCCTCCATTGGTGGACATCGTAGGGTTTGTCAAAGATCCACTCTGCAGGTTTTGACATGTCAGAGGCAGCGTCGACTTGTTCAAAAGTTAATAAAATTTAGTTTAATATAATGTTTTTTATAGGATGCTCTGTCCACTATTAGTAGTATTAGAAAACTCATTTCTACGATTACTACATAAAGGTAATAAAGAAGCAGCAATGACGCACGCTTTATTTACTCTAGACGAAGTGAACGCCATCTGGAGAAGAACAGACTTCGATAATGACGGCGAACCCGATAACATAGGAATTTACATTAAAAAAACGGAGGTGATGGAAACCGAGGAACCTGTATATTATATTCAGCCATACAAAATGGGGCAAACAAATGCTGTCGATTACCTGAACAAATTTTCTATGTAAGTTGATTTCAGCAGTATTTGGCACAAATACAGTATTAGTATTCCAGAATTAAGTTCTTTTTTTTTAAATCGCTATTTGTAACTCATACACAGGGTGATTCTACTAATTAAATATAAACACGTATTAAAATGTTAACAAATGGTACAAAACTAGTATCAACGTACTCGTATAACACATATCAAATACATATAATATCACAAAAATAATTATGAAACTCAATAAAGGGGGCTACAGACGTTCATGCATACTTGACAAGTGTACTTGTGCAAGCGTACTTGTATAAGAATTTTGAACGTGTGTAGGAACAAACTTGTACGAGTATTTCGACTTGTGCAAGTGGCACAGACTTGTACGAATTTTCTTCATGCCCCAGTGGTTTGCGCAAGTATGCATGAACGTGTGTATCAAATTTGCGCAAGCCTGAAGTTGATTCTAGTAGGTTTATTGCTTGGTTCTTATTTGTTTGTTACCAGAAGATAGATAAAAATGGCTAGTGAACATGAAAAAAGTATGCGGGAGGTATTGGTGGAGTTCATTAGTATTTATAGAGAATCTATTTGTTTATGGCAAGTAAAATCAAAGGACTATCATAATAACAACAAAAGAGGCTGCAAAAGAGGCTGCATGTAAAAGTTTAATTAAAAAATTGCAAGAAATTGATAAAATTGCAAACCGCGATTTGATTGTAAAAAAAATAAACAGTTTAAGAACAAATAATATTCAGCAGGGTAAAACTTCAATTCGTTTAAAATATTAGTATGCGAATAAATATTCCTTTTTAGAAGGCAGCTTTTGCATCAAAATCGACGGGTTTTCTTTTTTTCTTTTTGTTTAAGCAGAATAACGAATATCGCAAGAGCTAGCGCGTCTTCTTCGTCCATTTTTACCTACTAAAACCAGACTAAAACTATTCAAGTGCGCTTATATTGTATGGAGTCAATGCAAACTTGTACAAGTACGTTTGCACAAGTACACTTGTCAAGTATGCATGAACGTCTGTATAGCCGCCTTTAGCTTCATAGGTAAATTAACAGTTCACTCAACTTTTTTAGCGTTTTCTTAAGGCGGCTACAGACGTTCATGCATACTTGACAAGTGTACTTGTGCAAACGTACTTGTACAAGTTTGCATTGACTCGTGCCGGCGGAAGGGCCGGGCGACCCGGGGCGCCGAATGTGAGGGGCGCCACGCCAGTAACTAAAATGTTTAAAAAAAATTGTTCGTGGTATTTTACTTATAACTGAAAAGCTATCAACTTTTTGTAAATAACCCTTCTTTCTATAATTCTTGTTAAATAAAAACACTAAATCACCACAATACACCAAAACACTTTTACTTTTACACTGGACGCGCGTTTCGCTAACCATGTTAGCATCATCAGCAGATGATTATGAACTGTTTATAACATACTGCAGTTGATAATCATCTGCTGATGATGCTAACATGGTTAGCGAAACGCGCGTCCAGTGTAAAATAAAAGTGTTTTGGTGTATTGTGGTGATTTAGTGTTTTTATTTTGCTGTGTAACACCAAAGGTTCCAACCCTCAACTGTAATAATTCTTGTTTTTATAAATTTTCTCTAAACAAACTGTTTTGGGTCAAGAGCCAGCAAAATTAATAAGAACCAAACAATAAACCTACTAGAATCAACTTCAGGCTTGCGCAAGTTTGATACACACGTTCATGCATACTTGCGCAAATCACTGGGGCGTGAAGAAAATTCGTACAAGTCTATGCCACTTGCACAAGTCGAAATACTTGTACAAGTTTGTTGCTACACACGTTCAAAATTCTTATACAAGTACGCTTGCACAGGTACACTTGTCAAGTATGCATGAACGTCTGTGGCCCCTTAACTCTTGGCTCTTTCTTATCATTGCGGCTTTTCCACTTGAAAGCTGAAAAAAATAGTCCAAGAAAATAGGCCTTCAAATACGAAGTCTTGGGAAAAGCTTGAATTTTTGATATAGTGTAACTTATATCAAAACTTCAAGTTTGGAAGATCTAAAAACGAATTGTGAAAGATTTTTTTAAATTTACCCCAGCAGTTTTTTTTTTCAAATTTCGTAGAAACAGGAAGGACTAGAAAAAAAAGTTCAAATAAAACACAAAATCTCTATACTTTTTTTGCTCAGATCAAAATTAACCCAGATAGGGTTCTAGTCTTTACCGATTCTCCGAAATTTAGAAAAAATAATTGTATTTATTTCACCCGTTCTCGGGGGCGAATTAAAGAAAATATTTCACAATTCGTTTTTAGATCTTCCAAAGTCACTTATAACAAAAATTCAAGTTTTTCCTAAAACTTCGTATTCGAAGGCCTATTTTCTTGGAGTATATTTTATACAAAGTTCACTACACAAAACAAACTATTAAAGATCGCTAAAATTATCGCCTGTATAGACTTGTGCATTTCAACCGATTTAAAAAAACAACCTTGTTTTGAAACACCCGGTAGATTATTTTTTGCTTAAATTAAATTTCATAAATAAATATATAAATTATTTAAGGTATACCGAACTGAGGAAATACTGTCTGGGCATGGTTTTAACACATCAAATGTTTAGTGAGTCCGTTGTGGGACTGGCGTGGTTAGGCAATCGAAAGTATGTCCGAGTAGGTGGAATATGTCAAAAAACCATTGACAATAAAAACCTCAATACATTCCTGGCGTCAGCTACCAAAAGCACAAGAGATAAGATAAGTCAGATGAGGTTCGAAACAACCATTGCTCACGAATTAGGTATCACCATACAATAAGTTGCTGTTCTAACTAAAGTATTTTCATTATATTAGACAGTTAAAGCACGGCCAAAGACGTAGACGTAAACGTATCGTTTGACATGCGCAGTGAGAAATTCACTTGCGTTTACGGATACGTGATACGTATCTTTGTTACAACATGTCCTTGTATCCTTTAGTCATAGACTTATAAGAAGGTCATAGACAAACAAATAAAAATAGACTGGCAAATTAAATGGCAAAGAGAGGGACAACGTTCCCGTAGCGCAACTCAGAACGCAAAATTTCGTTCTATTTATGTTGATCTGCGCATTGCGTCTATTGGGCCCACTATCTCATTCTAATATAACAAGAGAGAAAGAAGCAGCCATATAAAACGTAATTTCTAAATAGAAATTAGAACAATCGCCTTTCGTTTTCGTTTTTCGTCATGAGAACCAAGATGACAACATTATGACAATTCGTAATGTTTGTTAATTTTTCTTTTGGTGATTTACCTTTTTTTCTAAACTCTCCATTTTATTGACTTATGAATATGAATACGGAACAAATTCCTTTGTTCCATGTAGGTATTTATATTTTGTTACTTGTAATTTTAGATTATACTATTTGTTATTTTATTTACTGCAGGAGCCAGTATCATATATTTTTTATATGTATTGGTGTCCCCTTTCTCTGATAGATATGTTAAAGACACCCGATAAAATAAAAGTAAGTAGGTAGTTATATTTATCATCTTATTAAGAAAAAGTAGAAGTAGTAGCACGGCATATAAATCAATCGGCAGGCTAACTCGCTTTGGCGGGAACGCTACGCGCATACCCTCGCGCACGCCGCCATTTGTATTTCCATCAGCAGAAAGTAACCAGTGTCGTAGTTTTTTCAGCGACAACACACAGTTACGGCAGATTCGGGTCAGTAGCGTGCGGCTTAATTTATTTTGATTTTTTCTTGAGTGATATATTTTATTTTTGTTGTTTTATTTTTGTTTATTATGTGATATATTTGGTTTTTCTAGTTTTATTTTCGTTTCTTATGTAATATGATTTGTTTTAGTAGTTTTATTTTTGTTGTTCAATAAAAGTTTCTTTCTGTTTCCTAGAGATCCTATTAGGTATGTATATATGTGTTTAATTATTTTAACATATTTTAATTGTAAAAAAACAGTAGTATTCATATTAGGACATTCAGCTAAATAGGAAGACCTAATTAAAAATCTTAACAAATTTTAATATTAGTAAGATTTAATGTTAAATATTTAGTAAAATTTAATGTTGTATCTAGACATTAAAAATTAAATTTAAAAATCATTATATTATTAATTTAAATATAATTATAAAAGTAAATAAAATGAGTATATCGAAAATAAGTTAACAACAAATACATTTTGAAGATATAAATAAGGCCCACAAGTACAAGTTGTGTTCTGTTCATTTTGAATTTAAAATGTTTACCAATTCACTTTGTAACCGTATAAAATACAATGCGGTACCTACTTTGTTTCCTGCCATGAAAAAAATAGAAGTTTCTCAAAAAAAATTGTGGATTTGTTAATTTGTGAAATTTGAATATTAATAAAATTTGCTACGCCCATTGATGGGCATAATTTGTACGTAGCCTCTTTATATTGTTCAATAAATATTTTATTGGTATTACTTTAATTCTTGTTTGTAAATCCTGGCATATTTTTGTTAGTTGCATGTTTTTTAATTTTAATTGTCTATTCTCTACAGTGAAATATTTAATTGATTTTTTCATTTTTACTTTTCGAGAAGTATGCGCGGTTAACGATTCATTTGTTTGGACAAAAGTATTGTGTAAATAAAATTCGGTTTCAGTCAATTACAGTATTTTTTTAATACGACCATGTCTAACAATAGTTTATTTTCTGAGAAATTTTTTGATACGTTTTAATCCGGCCCTGACTAGGAAATGATAATGGCGCCGTCAAGGTCAAATTTTATAGAAATTTAAAACAATGGAATCTGAGCAGAGTTAGCCTGCCGTGTGATTTATATGCCGTGGTAGTAGTGTCAAAAATATTTCGAACCTCTCTTAACATAACAAATTAATACAATTAATTTTTTTCATTTTTTGGGTAGGTAGTTTATAGCTGGTTTATAGTAACCAGAAACTTTATTAATATACCTATTTTACTTTTGTTTTAGGATTAAAACTGGACTTGAAAATGGTTCAGGATCATTCTCGTAAATTCTTCTTTGCTTGGATATTCACTTTGTTATTGCAATTAGGCAGTTTTTTCGAAAATGAGATTTTAATGCCCTTTAAAAAAATTGGGCGATCGTTTCCTGCAATAGTCAGTTCTTCTGCATTTAAAATTGGTAGGTGGGTGGAATAAACACTGTTATTTTTTGTTATTATATTATAAAAAGTTTATTTATTTTTATGTATAAATAAATATGTTTATAAAACAGTACAATTTTTGCTTTTTTTATAATTTCCCTTATAATAGTAGTATTCTTTCGTTCTGAAAGAAACTGCAAATTTTCACTTACACTGATTTATTCCCTACACCACATTCCCTTTACGTGGTATAGGGAATAAATTAGTTTAAGTGAAAATTTTCAGTTTCAGAATGAAAGAATACTACTAATAATGGCTAATTTAAATTTTCCGCCAGCCAGAATGTACGATAATGTCTTACGATACGTTTTATACCTATCTCTTTCTTTTTCATATAAAGCACACATAATAAAGAAAGATAGCAATAAAGACGTACGTCCTGCCATGGTCCTGCTAATTGGTTTCAAAATTGTTATTCTGAGTTGCGCTACGGGAACGCGGTCCCACTCTATACCATGAGATTTGTCAGTCTCTTTTTATTTGTTTGTCTATGCCTTTAGTTATTGTAATCTTGACGTTTTTATTTTCTTCCGTTGCGCGTATTTTGTTTGTGATATACCGTGTTCTTTTTATATTTATATATTTTATATCTTTTTGTATTGTTTATATTTTTACGTGTATTATTTTGTAATATCTGTTAAACGATGTCCTTGCCATACGATAAATAAAATAAATAATTGTTGTCACCGAACTAGTAAGGGGCTTTCTTTTAATATATCGATAACATATTTTTCTAACAGAGAAAAATGCAATTACGCGTGGAATACACTCGTTTTTCTCTTCTATGGCAAAATGATTAAGCTTTAATATCTCTAGGACTAAGCGTATATTGATTTCTTTGATGGTGCCTCGAATAACGCTAACAATTGCGTATAAAGTTGTGTCGCTATATCTTAATTTCTATGAAATGTTTAATAAAAATTAAAAAAAAAATTATAAAGCTAGAATAGTATAGTAAACGCCACGAATGTTTGGGAGTGATTCATCGCTTGATGAAGTTAGAATCGACACGCGCGCTATCATTTTTACATTAAAAACGTAAATTTTTACCGCAGACGTAGGTTTTTAAAGGCCCGGTCTAATCATCTGCCTGCGCTCCTCCTACTTATTCTAAAATATTGGCGTGATTGACAAAGACGATACTATATCGCGTTTCTTTGATTGATTCGTTTTTGTGCGTGAGTCCATTGGTGTGCTTGCAGTGCGACCAATGGGGCATTCCATTTTATATTTATAACCAAATATATGTTTTGACAAGATTTTGACAGTTAAAACAACAAATTACAACAGATTATACAGGGTGTCCCAGAAATAAGTGCAAATATTTTAACTGGTAGTATAGTTCAACCCTAGAAACACGCCTATGAGGGTTTTTTTGCGAAAAAAAAATGTTGAAAATTTAAAATTTTTCTTGGCATTTTCCGGGAAATTTGAACAAACTTTTTAGTGCCACTTCTTTATTCACCTGCGATTTCTCTACGGTGTATCTAAACCTTGCAGTGTTGCAACCTCCTATGTTATCCACATTCTACATAGTTCTACATTTATAAATTCATAGACAAATTTCTACTCAAAAATTAGGAATGTTAAATTTAATCTTTTATCAGTGCTCATTATTAATAATTATTATAGAAAAAAAACACATTAATTATTTTTAGTACTTACCCTTTCAATGAAAACTTAACAAAAACCACCGAAAATTAGCTAAAACATTACGTTTATGACGTTTACGAAAATGATTCATCATATTATTCACAACCAGGTCACAAAAAAGAAATTCCTAAAATGTTTATCGTAATTTAGAATTCAATATATGGAAAACAGACCAACGAATAATCGATTCATTTTTGTTTTGTTTCTTTTCTTTCATGTTTCTCTGTTTGATTTGAACCACTGATTTACAAAACACCTTGAAAAGCGCACATTACTTTGAATACCGTCTCTTATCGCCACTTTACGAACTACTTTCAATCTAAAAATACATGTTTCACTCAACAATTTTAAATACGTATTTTGTTTTTTCGCTATTTTTTCGATGTATTTCGACAGCCCAACAGTCGCGTCGCGCGTCGTCCAAGAGTGCCACGTGTGAACTGGTCCTTTGAGCCGCGCCGTCGTGGCGGGCTTGCGTCAGACGACGATGTTAAGCAACGTTGCCGTAGTTACAACAATTTCAAATTCAAGACATTCGAAGCAATCAAATTCGTATTAAATTTTAAAAATAAATCAGAGAAACATGAAAGGAAACAAACAAAACAAAAACGAATTGATTATTCGTCGGGCTGTTTTCGATATATTGAATTCTGAATTACGATAAACATTCTAGAAATTTCTTTTTTGTGACCTTACCAATAATCAATTCATTTGTGTTTTGTTTGTTTCCTTTCATGTTTTTCTGTTTTATTTTTAAAATTTAACAAGAATTTGATTGCTTCGAGTGTCTTGAATTTGAAATTGTTGAAACTACGGCAACCTCGCATGACGCAAGCTCGACACGCCGGCGCGACAAAGGACAGTGAACAGTTACGCCAGTTACCACTTGTGTCTAGCCCTAGCAGGCAACTGTTAAGCCCGACCAATCACGTTAGAGTTTTTGACAAATACAAATGGATTAACACACTCCAAATAACCACGCTAACCAACCTGATTGGTCAAGCTTAATAGTTGACTGCTAGGACTAGACACTTCTCCAGTTACCAACCAGTGATGCGCGGCTGTCTTGGCCGACGGTTGGGCTGTCGACGGAATTGTCGAAGTACATCGAAAAAATAACGAAAAAACAAAATACGTATTTAAAATTGTTGAGTGAAACATGTATTTTCTTAGATTGAAAGTAGTTCGTAAAGTGGCGGTAAGAGACAATAATTCTCAACATTTATTCATTCAGAAAGGTATTCAAAGTAATGTGTAACGTGCTTTTCAAGATGTTTTGTAAATCAGTGGTTCAAATTGTGATGAAGCCCTATATGAAAATAATATGTTAAGTTAAAAATGGGAACTGTTATTTTAGCAGTTTTTATAATAGCATGTACAAGTAAAGCAGCACAATGAAGTGTATTTTAGTTAAGTGTGTATCGAAAAAAGAGAACTGTCGCAGTTACATCGATCTGTCATAAGTATCTTTTTTAATATTGGGTAAGTTTTTTAATTTAACTTTTTTTAACTTTTAATTTATTTTATGTAATAATATCATAATCTTAAAAATGTAATGCATCTCTGCAAACTCCTCAGGTGTTGTGATTTTATGACTTACTTTTAAACATGTACTTTCTTGTCCATATGGCAACACAGTGCGTCGAATTAACTGATATCCGGGCTTGATCCGGGTAATTGGATGTAGTTGGCAATATCTGCCGGCGGTTCTCAAAATGTTGCGATTATTTTTTTAAATTTTCAAAGTTAAATAACTCGGTTATTTTCAATTTATTTTAAAAATGGTAAAGAGAAAATATGTTTATTTTGGCCAGATCTACCACCTCTTAAAATATAAGTTTAGGCCTCCAGTTGATGACGTCACGAATAAGCTGTCCGGCTTTGTTATTACGGTGGTTACGCCTACATCGACAATGCTTCGAAATAAACTAAATCAAGCGATCAAGCGAATCGCTCGCCGCTTGCTACTTGCCGTTTATTACCGAAAGAATATGTGCCCTGCGCACGCAGCTCACTGCTTGGCGCTTAGCGTTAACGAGTACTTACAACATGAGACGGACAAAAAACCGTATTTTTAAATACGAGCGATATTTCGCTCGAGTGATCACTCGGTTATTGCAATCGCTTGATATAGTCTGTGAAACGAATAACTTTGAATTTGACAGTCCCCGCGGGCTTTTCCAGTGTAAATTCTGTTAGGTTAGCAGCTTGCGGCCATGCTGATGCAATGCCGTCTCTAATAGAACAGCCTCGGAGCGAGATTTATGACGTCACGCTAGTTAGATACTACGGATTAATTATGTTCTAGAATACATGGAAAATATAATTATTCAAAATTACATATATATTTATATGTAATTTTTTGGATTATATTCGACACTATTTTTTTCATGACACAACACTGATGACCAAAAAAAATCATGAAAAACCAAATGAAAACTTAATCAGCGTTTTTCCCGAACCTAAATCCCAAGAAAATCAAAAATTTTAGAATAATTTTACATATAAAATGACAGCGATCTTTATTTCATAGCCATCGCTTTTCATGTTAAATTAGATCGATTTTCAAACCCCAAAATTTAAAATATATTTTACATTTTACCCATTATCTTATGTACCTATTCATTATTTGTATATTATAAAACATTTGCTGCATTTGTATGGTTCATAGTTTATTTGCCAAAGTATTTATTACTATAAATCGGTATATATATTGTATTTATTAACTGTATATTATGTATAATATTTCATGTAAACTATATCATTTTTAAAATACAGACCAAAAATACGAGGAATAATTATGTTTTCCATGTATTCTACAACATATTTATTAATCCGTAGTATCTAACTAGCGTGACGTCATAAATCTCGCCCCGAGGCTGTTCTATTAGAGACGGCATTGGTCTGATATTTAGAAATGTCAAAGGCTGATGACATTTTACTTTTATCAATTATGACATTTCGCGTTGATTTTTGCAAGAATAGGAAGAACTGTCACTTGTTTTATTATTTTCCTTTTCTATTTCACGAAAATAAAAAGAGTTACCTATCTGATTCGTTCAGGCACTCATTTTAAAGAATATCAGTAACTTTTTGGATAGAGGGATTTTATATTTGCCATGTTGGTAAAAAATAACGGTCAAAATTCAAAGTTATTCATTTTATAGACTATAGTCGAGTACTCGATTATTGAAATTAATCGGTTTTTCCCATCACTAATTTTTAGAAACCTCATAACAATGCAAATAAAATAAATAATGTAGAGGGTGTCCCACTTAAAAAACACAAGTTTGCGTTCTATTTCAAGAATGACAGCTCGCAGCGAGAAACTAGTTAACGTCACTGCAAGTTTTCAATAAGTTATTAAATAATCTAGATACAAAAGAGTTGAAAAAGGCAAACATTTCAAATTCGCCCTGTATTTCAGGAACTGAGGGGGCTAGGACAAATATGCGTGTAGCATCTTCAGTTCATAAGTCAGTACTCATAAAACACAAAACCCCATAAAACATACGAAAATGAGACACCCTGTACTCTATTAAGTATTATTTTATTTCTATTTGTAGGACACAGTTTTGGTGCTAAGCACGATGAATCTGACAAACACCGCAACCTGACTGATCCTACATGCCGTGGCCACCTTATGGCACCTCAAGTATTTAACAAATTTACAGGCATAAAGCAGCTTTCGTTTTCAACTTGTAGCAAAACGGATATGAGGGCTGGTATGGTTGGGCATGGCAGCTGCATGGAGCCTGCAAAAATTCCATTTTGTGGAAACTGTAAGGATAACATAGGCAAATACAGGGTGTTTTAAAAAACATGTGCAATCTCTCGTTTTTTTTACTTATTATAATTTCCTTACAAGCGCCTGTAGTGAATGACATTTTGAGGGTGATACAAGTATTTGTCCAAAAAAATCCTTATGGGTTTTTCGCCACTGCACTGCAAGAAAAATCTACAAAATAAAATAGTTATTTTTTGTAAACGCTTCTGCGTTAAACCTAAACGGACGCTGCTTGTCAGAAGTTGTGTTTACAGCAATAAAAATTTGCCTAACAAAGAAAAAAATGCTTAACGTTTCGGAAAGTTTTCTCTTTCCGTCGTCGGAAGCAGAAAAATATAAAGAATCAAGAAAAAAACTAATTAAAATATTTAAATTCACTGTTAAAAGTAAAAAAAAAAAATTTTTTTTACATTAAAAACACACCACATTTTATAGAAAAAATTTCAAAAATTAATATAACTCCTAACAGTTTAATGGTTAGTTTTGACGTTGTTAGTCTTTTCACTAATGTGCCGGTAGATAAATCACTTAAAATAGTTAGGGATAGATTAGAACAAGATACACATTTAATAGATAGAACAAAATTAAACATAGATAGTATTTTGGAATTGTTGACACTTTGTGCTAAAACTACTTATTTCCAATTAAATAATGAATTTTTTCAACAAGATTTCGGTATGGCAATGGGATCACCTCTCTCTCCTTTGTTAAGTAATATCACAGAGTAACGTAAACAGATGCGACAAACAATGCAAATGTGAAAATTACATTTTGGCGAATGCGCCAGGCAAATTTTTCCGTTAGATTTGTCATATAGGCGAATTTTACAGCGGACCAGCAAAGTAACCTCCATTCGTTTACTAAGAAGCCACGCCTGCTTTGTGTAGAAAATAGAGAGGGAATTTTGTAGTTCGGAATCAAATAGAGATGATTTTAATTTCATTAGTTTTTTTTCATTTTTTGATACATTCACAATCTATACCTACTAATATATAAAATTCTTAAGTGACTGACTCACTGATTAATCACGATCCTGCTCAAACCACTCAACGTAAGAAGCTCAATTTTGGCATACAGGTTGATTCTAGGGTGTAGAGGTTCGAAAAGAAGAATTTTTTTCGAATTCCAGTTCCAAGGGGGTAAAACCATCCCTTAAATATTACATATTTTTTATTTAAAAAACGGCCAGTTTCCTAAAAACGCTTAAACACTTTATATGTTATTTTTGGTTTTTTTACATAATTTAAGATTTTTAAAAATGTATACAGGGTGTTTCGAAAAATCTGGTCAATTGATTAATACGATTCCTGCTTAAAGCGCTTTGACGTAAAAAGCTGATTTGGAAAACGGTATTGGACTTTAGGGTGTAGAGGTTCGATAAGAAGGGATTTTCGAAACTCGAATCTAAGGGGTGAAACCATCCCTCAAATATTAGAATTTTTTTATTTAAAAACCGATGAGTTTTTCGGAAAAGTTCTTAAAAACGTATATTTATTTTGTTGTGTTTTACATATTTTAAAAAATCTAAAATTTTACAGGGTGTTACATAAATAATGGACCATTGAGTAATCACGATTTTGCTTTAAACTGCTTGACGTTTAAGCTGATGATTTTTTTGGCAAAACGGATTGACTGTGGGTGTAAAGGTTCGATAAAAAAGGACTTTTCGAAACCAAACCGTTTTTTGAATAACAAAAATTATAAAAAATAATTTTTAAATCAATTTAAAATTATCAAATAAAATGATAGTAGTGCATAAACTATTAACAAGCAGGATATAAAAATAATTAAAGATAATTTAAGCTGTTTAATAGTAGATAGACTTTAGATAATATTTGAAATTAACAGCTGGAAGTACAGCTAAATACAAACGGCAAGCTGGCAAACAAAATCCATATTCTTTTAAAAAATTTTATATTTTGAATTTATATCATTTTTAATTTTTAAAGATATCGTCCATTTTCTTTATACATATGTATTTGATTCTCTAACCCATTGTTTAAAGTTTGGTAAATTTCTCAACTTTACAAATAAATATTAGCTGATATTTCCTAACATCATGTAATTATAGTTATTTATTATTATCAAAAAAAAAAAAAAAAAAAAAAAAAAAAAAAATAATTTTAATTCTCACATAAAAAAAAATTCAAGCTGGCAATCTCGCTTTAACTTTATAATCGTACATCGGCTGCGACGGCCAGACGAGGCGGCGCGGTGTATCAAAGGCAAGGTTAAATGCGAGAAAGAACGAAAAAAATGGAAGCTTAGAGAAGGGGGTGTGCGGGAACGATTTGAAATCACCACGGCTGTTTGTTTGGCCGAATATTTTGCCTTCATCGACGGTATCGCCGCTCTGTCGTCGCACTTCCGAACATAGGTCTTTTTGAACACAAAATTTCCCATAAGGTGTCGCATCTGTTTAAGTTAGTTTGTGGTAATATTTTTATGGAAGATTTTCAAAATAATACAATAAATAGTTTTTCAAAAAAGCCTGTAATATGGCTGCGTTATGTTGATGATATTTTTGCAATATGGCAACATAACGTTTCTGAAATAGACATTTTTTTGGAATATATAAATTCTCGCGAACCTACCATAAAATTTACTATAGAAGTAGAGAGAGGTAATCGTTTGCCATTTCTTGATGATTTTAAGTGTCAAATTTTCAAATAAACTAATTTTAGATGTTTACAGAAAACCCACAAACACAGATAGATACTTAATTTTCACATCTAATCACAGTATAAGTGTAAAAAAAGGTGTTATAAAAAGTTTATATGATTAGGGCCAAAAATAATATATACCGACGACATTTCACTAAACAGAGGCATAAACCACATAAAAAATACATTAATAAAAAACGACTATCCACCATATTTTATTGACAAAACATTAAACGAGAAATACAAACCCCAAATCATAGACACATAGATAAAAATACACAATATATACAACTTACAATTCAATACATACGAGGCGTTTCGGAAAAAATAATGTTACGGATTCCGTGGGTCCACTAATTTAAACTCACGATAAAATACTTAACGAATTTTTTTTCTCACTTTATACACAATTACTAACTTATAACACACAACAAACTAACTATTTATAAGATTCCTTCACCAAATTGTCCGATTTAAATTTCCACGCCGGTTATTTCCAATTTCAAAACTCATTTCAAACTTCCCCCAACTGTCGTAAGAGCTCCTTTTATATAGCTGTGTTGAGTGTTTCGCGAACAATCTAAAATTATAGGGACGGGTCCGCCATCTACTAGTAAATTCTATTGTCTGCTTCGCTTACTTGTCGACTTGATTAAGAGATGGCGCTACAACAAAATATTGTCTTCAGGCTTCTGGACACGTTGCGGTTTTAGTTGCTCGCTTCCCCGACAGATGGCGCCACATTCACACTTGACATTGCCCCCTTCTCAAATTTGATCGTCCGATCAAGGTTTCCTGTCTGGTATCTCTTCAATCGATCCAAATGAACTACTTTCATCTTACTTCTAGTGCTGCGTTGAATCCGGTACACTACATCATTTATCCTCTTGATGACTGTATAAGGACCTTCCCATGCTGGAGTTAACTTTGGGGACCTCCCTTTCTTGCGCTGTGGGTTATATAACCATACCATATCGTCCTGTTGAAATCCCGTAGAATTAGCTCTGAGGTCGTAACGAGCTTTCATCCGGTCACTGGCTAGCGTAATCTTACTTCTCACGGCCTTATGAATTTCCATTAACCTTTCCTTCAGTTCATCCGCGTAGTCCTCTACATTTGTGGTGCCGTCGTCTGGTGATCCGAACACCAAGTCACAAGGCAACCGTAATTCTCGACCAAATAAATCTTCGATGGTGAAAGTCCGATGGTGTTGTGAACTGCACTTCTATACGCCATTAGGAACAGCGGTATGTGTTGATCCCAATCTCTTTGATGTTCGGCCACCATTTTCGAGAGGTGTTCTTCAATGGTCTTATTGAATCTTTCGACCATCCCATCAGACTTCGGATGTAAAGCTGTTGTCCTAGTCTTGTGAATACCAAGCAGATCACACATCTTCTGGAACAATCTTGACTCGAAGTTCCTTCCCTGGTCAGTGTGAAGCTCTAAGGGAATTCCAAATCTACCGAAGACCATTATTTACCAATACTTTCAGCTACAGTCGATGCTTTTTGGTTTGGAATGGCAAAACTTCTGGCCATTTACTGAAATAATCCATCGCCACTAAACGTACTTGTTGCCCTTGTGCGTTTCAGGGAATGGGCATGCAATGTCAACAGCGATTTTCGTGGGGGGGACAGTTCAACGTTTATTGTTTCATTTTTTTTTTTTTTTTTCCCCCCCCTAGAGCGAGTGCTTTGTCCTTGGCTGGCTGCACAAGTTTTACATTGTCGACAACATTTCTTGACATCTTCGCAATAATCCACCCAGTAAAACGATCTCTCAGCTTTCTCAAGGTCTTGTTTACTCCAAGATGGGCTCCAGTTTTACCATCGTGAATTTCTTCCAATACCTGGGTAACTTTCTTCCTTTGTACCAGTAACTGATTTGTTACTGTCCTGCCATCCGCACTTTCCACGTGCGCTTTAACAAACCATTCTCAATAACCAGTGAATTCCACTGGGCCCAGAGAGCTTTGAAAACGAGCCCTCTGTTCGCAATATCCTGCCACGGTAGTCTCTCGCCGTTACCTTCCTTGAGACGTAGTATGCTCCGCATGTCTGGATCTTCCATTTGATCTTTCCTCAATTGTGTCGTCGTCCACTTTTCATCGGTTCCAAGTTTAAAACTCTTTATCATGACAGTGCCTTCACGTTGTTCCGTTTTACAGCAGTGCTTACAATCGGTTCGACAGGGTCTTCTGGATAAACCGTCTGCGTTACCATGCATTTTCCAGCACGATGTTGGATGTTAAAGTGATACTGTTGGAGCTTTTCGAGCCATCGTGCTATTTGACCTTCGGTTGTTTCATCTCCATAAGCAACTTGAGAGC